GGATTTCCTTCCGCGAGGCTCAGGCATCGTCACCCGCAGGCCTCTCATTCTGCAGCTAGTAAACAACAAAGCCGGTGAGTGTGTTAATGAGCACGGCATAACTGCAAAGTCTTCCTAGGTATTTAATATGTATGCGGATGGCGTAAACCACATACTGTCATGCTTATTCATGCACTCCAAGTCATGATTATAATGTTCATTGAGGAATTCAATGAGGTGTGACTAAAATTTGTCAAGTGACACTTTTTGTTGTTACCTTAAATTGCAGCTGTCAATGCGAGCTCATTGCTTTTTAATGACAAAATCTGTGTGACGTTGTGCAGATATTCATACAAATACAGTTGATGTCAAAATTATTATTGAATTGTTTTTTTCTTTTTCAAATATTTCCCAACTGGTGTTGAACAGAGGAAGAACATTTTTACAGTATTTCCTAAAATATTTTTTCTTCTGTAGAAAGTCTTATTTGTTTTATTATAGCTAGAATAAAAGCAGTTTTAAGTTTTTTGAAGCCATTTAAAGGTCAACATTTCTAGCCCTCTAAAGCAGTATATATTTTCTTTAGATTTTTATACAATGACTTACCCGATTAACCTAGTTGAGCCTTTTAAATGTCTCTTTAAGCTGAATATTAGAAGAAAAATAGTAAAATATTATGTACTGTCATCATGGAAAAGCTAAAGTTTTTTTTTAGTTCTTAAAACTATTATGTTTAAAAATGTGTTGAAAAATAATTGAAATTGGGGAAAATATACAGGGGCCTTAAATTATGACTTTCTATAACAAAAACCCATAAAAATTGGAAAATTTAATTTTGAACATGAGGGCTATTTAATCGCATTAACCTTACATGATTATACTATTATGTATTGTGCCTGCATAAACTAAAATCTAATTAAAAAGACATTTCATTTAAACCTCAAACTTTACTTTGTATTTCTTTTTGTTTTCCAATTTAATTTCTATGTATTTAGTTTTCAAAGCTTTTACAAAGCAGAGTACAGCAGAGTCCATCATCGACTAGCTCGCACACGCACCAAGATGAAAGTTACAGCTGCAACCCATTTCTGGGAAACATACACCCATTCATATATTACATACAATTTAGCTTACCCAATTCACCTGTACCGCATGTCTTTGGACTGTGGGGGAAACCAGAGTACCCGGAGGAAACGCAGTGAACGCAGGGAGAACATGCAAACTCCACACAGAAACGCCAACTGATCCAACTGAGGCTCGAACCTGCCACCCAGTGACCTTCTTGCTGTGAGGAGACAGCACTACCTACTGCGCCACTACGTCGCCTAATAGCAATAATGTAAATAAAAATACTATATATATATATATATATATATATATATATATATATATATATATATATATATATATATAAATAAAGATAAAGTAATTAAACATTTTTAGTTTAGTTTCAAAGTGCATCTAGAAGTTTCAGTTTAGAATTTTATTTTAGTGTTTATTAGAGATTATCTAATGATTTTGTTTAATTATTATTATTATTATTATTATTATTATTATTATTATTATTATTATCATTATTATTAATATCATTATTATTAATATCATTATTATTATTATTTGAGATTGTAATTATGATAGCGCCCTATGAAAAGTTATTCCTCCCATTTTTCTGGATCTTGTGCTTGATTTGTTTGCTAAGTTGTAATGAAATTTATAATAAAAATCAGGCAATATGATTTATGGAAATTATTGATGTTTATATGATGTAATTGAATGTAATATATTTACCATTGTATAATAAAATAGCCAATATGATTTGATTTATATTTTTGTATTATAGCATAGTATATAACAATACAATAATCAAAAAAATTGACTTAAATTGCATTTCATACTATAAAATTAAAGAACAGCTCAGGAGATGAAGAATGCAGCCACTGAAAACAACATGAACCCCACACTTTCTTCCAGTATAGTTGATAAAGCTATTTGTTTACAATGACATGCAGATTATGCATATTTGAATAGCTTATTATTCTTAGAAATCAATCCATATTTAGTCTACAGTCCAACTTTGGATTCATGATTTCAGCTCATTCATTTCTGTTTTTATGACTGGAATTTTCTGATTCAAGAACAAAGTTTTAGCTTTGTGCAGATCATATGGCCTACATCAGACCAGTTTAAATTGGCCAAATAATAATCACTGGAATTTTTGCTGCTAGTGGCAAAATAATAACACACTTCAGCTTGAGTAATGTCTGCTTATTCAGTTTCCATACATGACTCAGTTTTCCACAGAAAATGTCCCTTCTTCCATTTACATCTTAACCACTTTAAAACCAATTATCGTTGGTATTGTTATCAGCATGATGTGCTGTAATGTGCAAGAACGAGAAAGCACAGATGGAGAATTGATACTGACAGAAAAGCATTACCAAGCAGATCATCTTCCAAATGAGTGCAATTGACCATAAAGTTGAACATAACAAAGCTGAATTGATGTTTCTGCTGGTGTCTGCACAATAAGCGTAAATCATGACTGGGAAATACAAAAAGTGTCTTTGTTTAGAGCCAGTTTAATTTTGAATTAGTCATAGAACTTAATGATGTTTGTTATTGGTTTTGAATGTCTGCTGTGTTTGACTGTTATGGACACTTTATTAGACTGAAAAACATGAAATTGTGACCAATTAGTTTGATTCAGGAGCTGTTTTGAGCCTAGCAACTTTCAAAGGAGTCTCAAACTGCAAAACACTCACACAACCAGTGAGTTAGAGCTAATTCAGTAGCTTTGTTTCCATCTGAAAATCCAAATAAAATTTATACGCAAAACTGGAATGTCCTATAATAGAAATGCAAATAAAGCAGCGTTTCCATCCAAATCAAAGAGAACAATAGCATGCCTTCCTGATTAACTTGCGCCTTGTGCATAAAAATAAGCGGATGGAAACATACACTCTCAGAAATGAAGGTACACGAGCTGTCACTGGGGTGGTACTTTTTCAGAAGGTACACATTTGTGCTGATAGGGTCAATATTGGTACCTCAAAAGTATATATTAGTAGGGCTGCACGATTCTGGCAAAGTTTTTTATTTATTTTTTTTTGCTTAAAACAAGTTCACGATTCTTTCTCACAATTCTGTAAGTGTAAAATAAAGGTATAAATAAAGGTTAGTATGATTAGCCTATTATTATTGTTAATTCTCAAACATATAGTAAAACAAAAGTAATAATATTAGGCCTGTGTGTAGGTCTGATGTTGCTTAAAATGCTAAATTTAGTATTATGGTGGATTTGGAACAGACTTTCAATATGTCCTGTTTGTTAATTCACAGTAAAATGATGACATCAGAATACAACTATTGATAATTATAAAATTGAATTATTTTATTTTTTCCTGCACGGCCCTCAAACAATCACTCACTGCAACAAACTGAACATTATTTACAACTTTATTACCGGTTATTCACAGCCTATGCAGGTTTTGTTCACTAAAGTAGGCGTCATTTGTGTGCACGCAAGTGCTCGCACGTTTTCGGCAATAAACAAACAGTGCATCAGCTCACGTGCGATTTTCACGGCAGCAAATACATAATTACATAAAGACATAAATGACATTTTTGGTGAATTATACGTTATATATACAGTATGTGACACTTTAATGCCATTTGATGGTGTCAGTGTTACTGTGAAGACTTCTGCGGTCGCCTTTTCTCCTGACATAGACAATATAATTAGCTAAATCAAAGAAAAAGCTGAATTAGGATCGTTCGTAGGGTCGAATCGAGATTGTGATCTTTTTTCGATTAATGGTGCTGCCCTATATATTAGTACTTTAAAAATTTTAAGACCATCACTTTTTATGTACTATGTACCCTTGTGGTATTAATATGGACCTTTTAGGTACAAATTTATACCTTTCGAAGCCAGTGAATGCTCAAGTACTTTTTATTTCTGAGAGTGTAGCTACAGACCTACAAAGCCAAATTAACCAGTTTAACCTAGGGTCCATTCTTCATTGCTCGCTTAAATGATTTGACAGATCCTGGATCTTTTAATCATGATGACTGATCTCTGGCTAATTTCATTCTTCAAACAAGTTTGCGAACCAGATTAAAATGTCTGGATGAACTGATCTGAGATCACTGCTTGTGTTGTGAAGGACAGATCTAAAATCATGATCAGCAATGCAACGATTAGCTGACAGCACAGCAGCGTAATGACATCATCTGATTAATATGCAGTTATCCCTGTGAGCAAAATTACATCAAATTAGCAGTAAACGATTTATTAAATAGAGCTGCAGGCTTTACACTTTCATGTCTCAAGAGTTTTCATCATCAGGGCTTTACATTAACACCCGCCAACCCGCCAAATGTGGGTAGATTTGAGCTGTGGCGGGTTAGACAGACTCCTCCACTAGCCACTTTGGCTGGTTGGAAATCATTTTTAAATTGTAGCTTTCTTAAAAGCAGAGTTTGACAATAAGCATGGCCCAATATTTGTGCAAATGTGATATTAGAATCGAGAAGCAACAGGACTGCCAAAAATAACTGTGCGAGCAAAAGAATGGTGAATACAGAATTAGAGCATGATCACTTGCGCAAACAACTGATGTGATGCGCGCGACTTAAAAAGCGCGCATGCGCTCCCGTTTACTTACGCAAAGCAACCATCCCTAGAGGAAGCGCAACAGGTGCGATTTGATCCCCTTTGAAATAGACTGGACAAAGAGCGATGATCTTGCACCCACAGTCCTGCTGCTTTCAAGAGCTCAAGATTTAAAAATATACACGTATTCTATTGTAAGCAGCAGCGGTCACTGCTTTCATTTTAATTATTCTTAGAAGAGATTATTAACAGGCCTAACATTACCTGTGTGCACGGTATGTTTCACTTGCTTTCTTTTGCTTACATTTATTTTTGTTAATATGGTTTAATTATATATATATATATATATATATATATATATATATATATATATATATATATATATATATATATATATATATATATATTTACAATAACATTGCTTCAATGGGAGATTACTCCCTGTTTATGTGTAGTTAACTGGTAATCTGGGACTTTTAGCCAGGACAGATTACTGTGCATATTTTAAATACATGACAATAATTATTTTTTTAAATGTAATGTTTTTTTATATAGAAAAGTTTTGTTGAATTAAAACGTGCTCAAAAAAAGCTATATTTTCCTTGTTTTTACACATAAAAAAAATGTGGCTAAGAAATACTTATTTAGTGTGGTCAGGGATAAATTTGGTAAATCCTATATTGTACATATTGCTGTCAATTTCCCATTGTCGTTGTATTTGCACTGTCTGTATTTTTCTGTCATTTTATTGTATTTTGTACTGTCTGGAGCCAGCACCTAAGCCAGGGGTGCTCAATCCTGTTCCTGGAGATCTACCTTCCTGTACAGTTTAGCTCCTACCCTGATCAAACCCACTTGAACCAATTAACTAGGACCTGAAATCCACTTGATAATTACAGACAGGTGTGTTTGATAAGGGATTCAACTGAAATCTGCAGCATGGTAGATCTCCAGGAACAGGATTGGCCACCCCTGACCTAAGCTTTGCACTCATCATAGCACATATGCTGCTGATGATGTGACAATAAAAGTGATTTGATTTTGATTTGATTTGGTTTAAATCCTTAATTTTGAGCCCTAAAAAGTCGTAAATAAATGATTGCATTTTGACAAAACCAATTAGCTCATGGACACTGAGCAAGCTAATACACAATACACACAACAAGTTAAATGAATGAGGAGGCATGTGGACATACCATCTAAATCAAGTAGTTTAGCACGTCAAAGTCAAATTTAAGCAAAATATATTTTCCCAACAAGAAAAGTGTGGGTAGTGAAAATGGCGAGTGTCTAGTAATGTTGGAAATCTACTAGCCACAGTAGCTGGTGGTCAAAAAAGATAATGTCAAGTCCTGTTCATCATGTATTTCAATGCATATCAATGTATTTAGTTCTATATTTAGAGAAAATTTTCTTTATTATAGTAGCCTAAGCCTACTTAAGTTAATAACTGTATGAATTAATTTTGCATCAAAAAAGCATTTTGATATCAGTAAAGGTGTCTGCATCTTTTGCTAAGCATCAAATCACCTAGTTATGTATAATTATATATTAAATATATATTTACTATTTTCCCAAGTGTATATAACTACTGTAAGAAAATATCAGCATTTGGTACATACTTTCAGTATTATCTTTGCTTAAACTGACACAATCTAATCCTGTTTAAATGAAATGAACCTGCTCCCAAGCAGGTTTGAGCTACCAAAACTGTTGCTATGACAACAAGTCTTAAATGATTTTTGAAGAACGAAACAATCCTGGATCATTTATTATTTTTATGTTACACAAATTTGTATGGATTGTGTGAAGTAAACACTAAAATATTTGACCTTAAATTCACTGTAAATTACCGACTAATAATTGCATTATTTACAATTACATTTTGAGCTGAAACTTTACAGACACATCTTGTAAAAGTGGTAAAATAGGTGCCCTTTAAAACAATTTTAGCTGGTGAAAAAAACTGTTTTCTAATAGTTTTGGTCACCACTAAATATATTTTAATGTCGATGTTTTTACCTCATTTTCCATTCCCCACCAGTACATGTTATCAGTATGTAAATGAAAATGGTTTAGACTTTAGATGAAAACACCACTTTAAGATAAATTCTCATTTGCCTCCACTGAAATGTCACCCATATCAACCTAATCCTTGCTCTCCATCTCTCTGTGTGCAGAATATGCAGAGTTCCTACACTGCAAAGGGAGGAAGTTCGTGGACTTTGATGAAGTCCGGCAGGAGATTGAAGCAGAAACCGACAGGATTACAGGCTCCAATAAGGGCATCTCTCCTATCCCCATCAACCTGAGAGTCTACTCTCCTAACGGTAATGCAAAACTAGACCCTGGAGGAGCGCAGTTTCCCGCAGTCAGTCTGCTATTGGTGAAATGTCACTCTCCTCTGTCTTTGATCAACAGTATTGAATCTGACACTCATCGATTTGCCTGGGATGACGAAGGTGGCAGTGGGCGACCAGCCGCCTGACATCGAGCACCAGATTCGGGACATGATAATGCAGTTTATCACCAGGGAGAGCTGTCTAATCCTTGCCGTCACCCCAGCCAACATGGACTTGGCCAATTCGGATGCCCTCAAGGTGGCGAAAGAAGTGGACCCTCAAGGTGAGGGGATTCACAAGTCAAATAATGAGAGAAGCTGGATAGAGTTTAGGAAAACCTGAAAAATATACACCATGTAGTAAAGTTGTGCTGCTTTAGGAGAGAAAAGGCCATGATACTTAAATAAATGCAGTAAAAATGTGTAAATTATGGAGTCAATTATGGGACAAAATAAAGCAAATGCAGCTCATGAGCAAATTACGTTACTATACACCTGAAGGATGGGTCAATTAACAAACTCAAGCACAAAATATATTAAATTAATTACTATAATTGTAATTATTATTATTGCAGAAATTATTCACGTGTGTGTTTACACAGCTCGCCATGATTGTTTGTGTCCTCACAGCGTGTTTGTGTGCTCACAATCATGTTTTTTGTGCTTGAGTTTGTCATTCGTTCACAAGCTACAGTCGTGCACTCGCTTTTTATCATATGTAATTATATCACTAAAACTAAAGGCCCATGCACAGCGGGATACTTTTTGCTTGCGTTTTTTATTGATGTTTAACGCCTCGTGATTAAAGGGTGCCAATGTGATCGTGCACACCAACGCCAAAACGGCAGGCGTAAAAAAAGTGTCATTTTTTTAAGAAAGGCCTCATTTTGATACTGTACACTAAGTTGCTGAAGTTACACTAAATAGCACTTGGAGGCGCTCAAGGGCAAAACTGTCAATGCGAGCGCACATTGAAGAAGATGCCCAGAGGTGATATGAACATGGAGCTGCTTATTGCATTGGTGAACAATAATCATTTCTTCATTGCTAGAGCTGCTGCTTGAACCATCCATGCTTATTCAAATCGCCAGTAACTTTAACAACAATTGTTTTAACTTTCTGTTTTCTTCTTTTGTGTTACAAGCGGTTGTTAGAAGCTTAAAGTTGTGTAACGCCGTCTAATGTCAAGGAGCGAATTTTTTTTTTTTTTTTTTGTTTTTTTTTTGCATACTCTTCTGCTCAATGCCAGTGAAAGTCACTTGTTTGAATCTGGAAAAGTATTTCGAAAAATAATGACGATAAACGCAAACAAAAAGTGTCCCGGTGTATACGAGCCTTAAGACTGTGATTATTTAAAAAATTGTTCTTTAAAGTGTTAAATAAACTATACCCTAAACAAAATATAAATATTATATAAACACCTGAAATGACAAATTATAAAAAAATACTCGTGAAACATAAATATCAAGAATCTAAAAGTCAAGCTATAATAATAATAATAATAATAATAATAATAATTGTGTAATAATAAAAATACCAAACATTCCTTAAAATTAAACTACAATGAAAATATAAAAGCAAGTTTATACCCTATAAATTGTATAAAATATTAAATAAATAAATAAATTGACAAATTAATTATTCAAACTATTTAATATGAAATAAATACATTTATTTGTTTATTTCATATTAAATGAATTGTTTGAATGATTAATTTGCAAATAAACCTGAATTTAGAATTTTTTTGATAAAACATTTTTTGAGAGAAATGTGTGAATCCTTTGTATTGACCAGAAGGATCAATAATATGTTTTGTTGTGTTTAACAGGACTGCGTACCATTGGTGTAATCACTAAACTGGATTTAATGGATGAGGGTACAGATGCCCGGGATATCCTGGAAAACAAACTTTTACCACTTCGTAGAGGTTTGTACTTTATACACATTCACATTTAGTTGGTCATAAATACACTACAGACGATAATAGTATTCTAGGACAATACTCATCACCAAAAACACGGCAGCCCAACTCAATCTAAACAGGCTAAATTGCATTTTTTTTGTGCAGGATTGGGAGTGAAGGTACTTTCTGAGTGTGAAGAGAAGTATAGCTGTTTATGGGGCCGTTCACATATCGCGTCTTTTGCACGCACAATTTCGTTAATTCCAATCGAGGTGTGCATCTTGCAAGCAAATTGGGAGTGCTTATTGTGCGTGCTACCATTCACTTGCGAACCCAGTTTAAAACAGCTAGTCACATGACAAGAATTAACCGGAGCCTAATTACCTCAAACACAGAACACCCAAACATTGCTGTGCTTTTTCATACTATGCATGCATGGTTTCAGGTATCCAGTTTTCTTCGTGTCTTCTTTTGTGTTTAAAAAAAAGAAAAAAAAGAAAAACACAAACAGGTTTGGAACAAGAAAATGATAAGAAATTTTACGCTTTAGGCAAACTCTTTAAGTCTTTTGAATATGTCAAGCTGCTGTGATCAATCCATTGTAATGTTTCTTAGTGAATATTAAATCTCTGAAAGAGCTGCAGTTTATTTTGAATTTGTATTGGTGTATTTTATGTTTTTGAAAGCAACTTTAAAGTAAAGTATTTAGTAATCTAATTACTTATTTCGTGGAGTAATTAGTAATGTAATCAGATTACAGTTTTCTAGTAGTAATCAGTAATTTGTTATAGATTACTTTTTAAAAAAATCTTCCCAACACTAATCATCACTGAGTAAACATGTTTGTTTATCTATCTGACTCAAATTGTAGTTAATGTGAACAGATTCAGTTTTAGAAAAAAATAAATAAATCATTATCATGTGCTATGAATTGGGATGTAAACACATTTTCCAAGACGTTTGTTGACATACTTTACAGTCTTTGGAAAGTTATTTCTTGTCCTAACTTGTTTTGCTCATTTCTTTCTCTGTATTTTCACATTCTCTCTTGTTTCTTTGCTGCTGTAAGATGCAGTTGATATTTTTGGTCTATGATATCAGTTAAATTATGATAAATAAACTGTACTGCACACATTTCTCCTATTGTATGATTTGAATGCCCAAACCATCCAGCACAGACAGGCACCCTCTAATGTGATTTTTCCCTTGTCGTAGGTTATATCGGTGTAGTGAACCGGAGTCAGAAAGACATTGATGGCCGTAAGGACATTCGTGCTGCGCTGGCAGCAGAAAGGAAGTTTTTCCTGTCCCACCCTAGTTACAGACATATGGCTGAAAGGATGGGAACGCCACACCTGCAAAAAGCCCTCAACCAGGTACAACCACATCACCGTCTGAAGCTGTTGTACTGCTGCTTGCCACACTTCTCAATAGTTTAACTCTTATGGGCATTGCAGTAACTTTAAAATGATTTCTTATCAGAGTTTTTGCGGGGTCTTAAAGTCTAAACTTTAAAAAAAATGACATTTAAGGCCTTAAAAAGTCTAAATACACTCTTCTAGGTCTTAAATATTTTTGCACAGAAACTGGTCCATGAACTGTGCAATGTTACTTATAAAGTTTGTGTCTCTGACAAAGTCCCATACATCAATAGTCTTTTCCGGTCCCTCTTTTAACAAACGGACGACAAATCCTCTGCTGCAGGGTGGATTACTGCATTAATCACCAGAAAGCTCACTCATTAATGTTCACTTATCTTCAGTCATGATCAGTCCCACACACCCCTACACTCCACTAGTGTTTTAAGGGAAAGGAGCATTCATGTTTTACCGAATCCAGCACTTTATATTTGATATTGTATTGTCTTGACGGCAATACGAACAAGCAAAATATCAAAACAAATGACAAATAATTTAAACAACTTGTGAGTCGAACCTTTTTGTTAAAAACAATGCACTATCAGATTTAAACATTAGCTGGGTGTTTTGATTCATTTAGAGCTTTGTTGTTTTGTTTTTGAAGGTAATTTTTAATAACCCATATTAATCTTACATGTTCGTACTACCAGAACTGTGCAAGTTCTTTTTTTGGCTTTTACAAACATGAATAAATTGAATAAACTTGATTAGGTAAATTAGTGTTGTCCAAAGTATTGAGATCAATACCAGTCACTACAGAAATTTTCAAAACGTCCATTCTTGCTAACATTTGAGCACTGTTGAGCATGTTCTTAACACCCCTGATTGGCCATTGTGTTCCCATGCTCAACAGAACTGCCTGTGATTGGCCGTGAAACTCATCAGTTCACCATTCTTCATTGCAAACACAGATACATGAGCGTTTAACAGTCACATTGATCAACTGTATTGTCTATAAGCTTACATACGAGCCATCCGCTGATGGATCAATTAATCTAAGTGGCTTTGAAATTCTTAATGTTCTTGTATTTGTGTGAATAGTGGTGAACTGATGATCTTTACAGCCAATCACAGTCCTTTCTGTTGAGCAAGTGACCATGGAAAATGAACGTTTTTGTATCATTTGGTTCTAAAGTCGATACTTTGGACAATTCTCGCTGCAAAAGTCATATTGGGCTTGCATGTTTTCACTGATTTTTTTTTATGTGAAACTGAGCTCTGTGGAAGATCGAATGCGAAGTGCTGAAGGGGGTGGGCATGACTCAATAATCATTTCATCTAAAGGTTTTTTTCATAATCCTTAGAGGCCTAAATCAAAATAGATCTCTGACTATTTGCACAGTCCTAGTATCGGTATGTTTGCCTAAAGCTGCGTTCACACTGCACTTTTTCCCCCATAGACTTTCATTCATACGCATGCAAATGTGTCAGCCTGGAAACGCCAGCTCATGCGACATGTTTTGCCGATTGCTGCGTTGGAAAGTTCAAGCTTGATGAATTCTGACCTGCGAAATTGCATCATGTGACTGCATGAGAGCAATCTTAGATCAAAACATGACATCTCTGGACATTTAAAATATGGACCAATTGCTCGCTTTTTAAAATGTCTAATCATCTTGTTTAATTCCACCCATCTTCACAGTGCCATACTACAGAATTGCGCAAGCTCAAACTTTAGTGTGACGGCAGCTTTAAGCTTTGTGCAAACCAGGTTATTTATCCCTTATGTTTATCGCCAGGCAGGGATCGATATTGCGACCATTTTGGTCACATATGGGCCCGAAAATTGATCTATGCGACCTCAAAATATTTTTGGGAGCATTTGTGCGAGTGCATAAAATTGTTGTGTGCGACCAGTTGTTAATGCAAAATGTTCACCACATGTGCAGATTCGGGAGACATTCACGCAGAATGCAACTTTACACTTAAAACTCAGGAATGGTTTAAAACCAGTTGCAGTAATGCTTGCACTGCGTTCGCGCTCTTCTTATTGGCCCACTGCTCTAGATCTGAACGCGAATGGATTGGTTAATATCAGCTGTCAATCACTCTGTCAGTGCCTTCTGGCTTGGGATGACGGAGAGAGCAACTACCGTGAAAAATTGTAAAGCGCTGAAGAAGAGAATGAAAAAAGTTAAAGCCATAAAAATTAGGCCAAATAAAAATTACCATTGATTTTCTTTATTTTTTTTATTTGCAATTTCTTTACAAGTATGGATTTGCACAAATAGCTAACCATTTCAGAAAATGTTTGCATAGAGTCCCCGCCTATATCATGTTCTCACTTCTTGTTTTTGTATTTTTAGCAATTGACCAACCACATCCGGGACACACTTCCCGGCTTGCGGAGCAAACTCCAGTCTCAGCTTCTCTCTCTAGAAAAAGAAGTGGAAGAGTATAAGAACTTCCGCCCAGATGACCCTACTCGAAAGACCAAGGCCCTGCTGCAGTGAGTGACTATCATGACTAGCTTTGCTCGTAACTAATTCTAGCAGTTTCTAACTCTGAGTTCTGCTTTTTTAGGATGGTCCAGCAATTTGGTGTGGACTTTGAGAAGTGCATTGAGGGATCCGGAGATCAGGTGGACACTGCAGAGCTGTCTGGAGGTGCCAGGATTAACCGAATCTTTCATGAGCGCTTCCCCTTTGAGCTGGTCAAGGTGCATACTTGTTTCGCCTGTCTGTGAATTCATAATGTTGATCTGAGTCAGTGTTGTAAGTTACTAAAATTGAATAAATTCTAGATTACTTTGCTAATTAATGTAAGAAGTAATCAGATTACTAATTACTACATTTTCAAGTTACTTTGATAACCTGAAAAAATCTAAAAAGCACTGAAGTGAAAATTGTTGTTCTCTCACGAATTTAATGTTGACTGAAAAATGATACAAAGGCTTTTTTTGATTCATATTCTGCTTTAAGTCAGGGGTACCCAAACTTTTCAACCCACAACCCCCAAAATAGAAATCCCTGTGAAATGCAGAAGTTCGTTTCTTTCCATTTGTGTGGATTATTAAATGCCATAACACTCTCACCAGTCCTTACTCCTTATTTGTGTCTTATACCCCAGTTTGTCACAGGGGCGTGAATGAAATGTTCATGAGGTAATGTGAAACTGGCGAACTTCAGTTAAAGTCACCCAAAATTACAGGAACTCTTACATCAAAGCACTTCACTTAAACACCTTTTAATTATATTATTGTCTATTAAGGGAAGTTTATGGATAAAATTTTGTATTTCTAATAGTTTAATAAAATGTATTTGATTTTTTTGGAAATCACCAAGCAACACCCATCCCCTACCCCTACTAGGAATGGGCAGGTATAACTGCACATGACAAATGACAAAGTTATCATTAATTTCCAAAAGAGAGTAGTCCGGGAGCTGCGTGGAGTTCCGATCATCTCCATATGCGGAACGTTATTTATATGTATTTTTTTACATTTTTAAAAAAATTTTAATGTTGTCTCCACATTCCCTCCCAAATTTTAAGTGGTCTTTGAGTTTCTTGTATTGTTCATTCATTCATTCAACCATGGTCAATGCACGGGGAATAGAGGCTCTTTTTGCACTTTTGTTTGGACACCATGAGAATCTTTCCCATGGTACACAACAACACTGAAAATTCTGTGTGACTGCCACAAAGGGGCCTATTACGACAGTCGTGTCCAAATGTTGTGTGCAGTGGAAAAGCGGCTTGAGATTCTGACGTTACGATAAACTTGGATAAAAATATCATGGCATTGTGATTACTGCTCTAAAATCTGTTCTTTTTAAATGTCTGAGTAAAAACTAAAAAGTCAAAATGTGCTTCAAAGGCATTCTGGTCTAAATATTGCTTTTTTGAGGATCTAAAATAGACCGCTTAATAGACTAGCTAGAAGAGGTCTAAAGTCCAGCGCAGAGCGCGTCAGTTGTGCGCCTCGCTTAAACATTGCTTAATACACACAGAATGTGCAGCAATACGCAAATGTCTTTACAAATAAAAAGGAATTAAAGAATTCAAATATTACAAAAATGATCACTTTCAACATAAATGTAAGAACCACTGCCTTCATGCCGCCTTCATTACTGGGAGGCATTTTCAGATTATTGATGACAACATGGTTTTGTATCACTTTATTAATACTAGTAGTATTATTTATTATATGCATATTTATATTTGTTTTATTAAAAACAAGCTTAGATTTGTCCACCTGTCAGGTTTTAGACCATATGGGGCATAGCATGTGTATTTGGAAATAACTTGTTAATAGTTCCTTTATTCGTTTGCTGCAAATTAGAACTGAATTTAGAAATTGTTTTGAAACAAATCTTTGTGCTTAACAAACAAAATTAATTGTGTATAGGCTAATGGATGTCTGTGCGTACAACACGTTTCCCTGTCTACGAGAGTTAGGGAGTTGCACTTTGTGCCAAGATTGTTAAAATAGAGCCCTGAGTGTCATTGCACATAAACTCTGAAACTCTCTACCACGCTCACTCCGTTCTGCTAATAATATCTCAGAATTCAAATCTTTACTTAACTCTGTTTTCTGATTGCTACACTTCTGCTCTGTCAAACTGACCACTTTATCTGATCCACCTGTACTCAGCTCATTTGTCTCTTAGATCTTGCATTTGCATTTCAAGTTTGTTATATTTGACTTCTTGTATGTTTGTATGCCAAATGCTGTCTTTACACTTATCTGATTGTAATATCTCTTATTGTCACATTCTTTGTAAAGTGCTCTTGAGCTCTGGAAAGGCGCTATATAAATAAAAAACAAAAAAATATTATTATGTTTGCCCAAAGCTCATTATCAACACTGAAATTCTGCCTCTTCTAAATATCATCTATTCACATCTAAGATTTCATATTTAATCTTACATTTATATTTATTTAAATTATCTGATTTTGTACATACATTTTAAAATATGACATTATTTTTGCCTAATATACATTAAAACCAAAATGTCCAATAGATGGTGCTAAATCTCTTTCTTTGTCACTAAATTGTTCATTCAGATTCATTGTTGTCTTTAAACATTGCTGGCTGGAGATTTTTAATTTTTTCCATGCATTTACACTATGCATTTAGACCTAGACTCCCTGTGTTCTACTACCGGTCACAATTGTGACCAAAGATGAAAAAAATTTTCATAGTCTTTCAATTATTTTTAGAGAAAATTGATATTGATTGTTTAATAACAATACAAATAGAACACAAATTCATATATGTCATCTCTGAAAAAAAATTGGCATTAAATGCGTCAAATCTGTAAAAAAAAAAAAAAAAGTCAAGACTTTCATGAACCTTTAATGTGGCTATTTATGTAACATGTTTTACTCAACTCTGGTCTAACTGTCTGTGAACAATACATTGATCTTAAGATAACAAGTCACCACAAGTTCCCAGAAAACCCCGGTATGTGATACACAGGTGCAGAAGTGACTTTCTGTCTTTCTCTTTCAGATCGTGTTTGATGAAAAGGAGCTCCGGAGAGAAATCAGTCACGCCATTAAGAACGTCCATGGTGTCAGGCAAGTGGCGTCCCATTGACTGTAGCACTTGTCAACTGCAGGTCATACGACGACTAGAAACCACAGCACTTTTATGTCCTGTGTTCACTCACTAATACTCCAGTCTTTCACTCCATTCACACTTTCTCTCTCTCTCTCGTGTGTTATTGTAAGGCCATGCTTTCACATCACAACTGCCAGATCACTGTACTGCCCACGCTACATGTTGATCTTATTATATGTTTTAGTTAAAAAACCAAAACAAATATTACATCTGTTCATTGCCGTTTTTCAGTATTTTCTATATTTTTGTACTCAAATCCTTTAAGTTTAAAGTACATGCCATTATTTCACTGACAAATGTTGTGAGCACAGTATTACAAGTCGAGAGTGCATTCATAGAGCTAGCGAATCCCTTTTCTCCTCTATTCCTTTGTGTCCTCTATTCATGCACAACTTCTCACACACTCACAAATGTATGCTGCTTGTGCGCTCTCAGTAGACTACTCAAGTGCGAATTGTCTACTCTCACTCAGTGAGATGATGCGGACTTTCAATTTGTGCCTTGTGTTTCCTCTTCCATTGATGCTTTTGCTCTTCAGAGATTTTTCGTATAAATTAGTTCTCTCAAGAACATTGACAGGATTTATATTTTATGAGTTTATTTTATGAGTTCAGTATAGTCAATACTAAAGTATGCTGAAGCATTCGTTAACAAGGTGTTGTAAATACTATAACATATACTATGCCAGGGATGTCGAACTTTCTAGAGGGCCGCAGCCCTGCACAGTTTAGTTCCAACCCTGCTCCAACACACTTGCCTTGTAGGTTTTAAACAACCCTGAAGGACTCAAAATCAATTAATTAGCGTTGGAACTAAACTGTGCAAAGCTGCTACCCTTTTTTTGCTTGACATCCCTGTACTTGGCTATACCTAGTGTCAAAAGCACTATTTAAATATTTGCATCTTTACCTGAATGCGCTCTCAATTTGTAATACTGTGCTGAGGACCTTTTGTCAGTGAATTAACGCAATAAAAGTAGTGCTGTCAACAAGTTATTTGTGATTAATCACATTCAAACGAATGTTGTATTTATATAAAATATATTTTTGTACTGTGCATATACAGATAAAACCAGAAGTTTACATACAATAAAGTCAAGTTTACACACAATAAGATTATTATGCCTCTGAAAGAGCTTAGATGATGATGTCAAGGTTTTGGAAGTTTCTGATTGGCTTATTGACAATATTTGAGTTAATTGCAGGCACAACTGCAGAATGGTATTTAATGAAAACCTCAAACACACTGCTTCCTTTTGTGACAGCCTGGGGAAATCAACAAAAAGCCAGATCACAGTTGGCTAAATTAGGGAGCATGTGGACTCTCCGATCTCAGTTTTGAACTGCAATTTTTCGATAACACATGCAACACTTCAGTTTATTACAGCTTATTTCAAACAAGAGTTATTACTAGGATCTTTCTTAGGAGACCCTAAAAATCAAATTCTTGTCTACAAACCTCAAAAACTGTGTTATGAGGGCATGGCCAAAAAAATTCAAATGACTGAGTAATCTTGTTGACTCTGAAATGTGTTTTTTTTCCCAACAGCGAGCCACCCTCACCTGTCCATTTATTATTTAGGATTCACATTTTTGTTTTAGTCTTTGTGACCTTTTATTTCCATCCACTTCACCTTCAGTTATCCCATTGTCACTTGGTTTTGTATCTGTTGTTGTTTAATCTTCACATCAATGTCACAGATATCTGTCTTTTGAGTTATTTTTTGGCCACTATTGTTGTTCCTTGTTTTCTTTCTCCTCCATGTTTGTGTCTGTCCTCTTACGTCCTGCTGTCTGTCTGTCCTGTGCGTTCTCAGAACTGGGCTGTTCACTCCAGATCTGGCGTTTGAAGCCATCGTGAAAAAGCAGATCATTAAGCTGAAAGAGCCCTGTCTGAAATGTATCGATCTGGTTATTCAGGAGCTCATCAACACATTCAGGCAGTGCACCAACAAGGTACTGCAGTAACCCAGCCTGGCCATGGAGGGGCTTCCTGTGAGGGGGTCACACTACACCTGAGGCAAACAGACAGTGCTTTCAGCCAAAAGCACAGAGGGAAGAGGTAGAGGTTGAGCAGAAGGCTGCGAGTAGTTTGCGTGTCGGTGTGACCTCCTCGGCCCCCCTGACTGCCTCATTCGCTGGCTCTGCTGTCGTGTTGGGGTGTTGTGACAGTCTTGTGACAAGAAGATGAACGGAGAATGACACTCTCTGGTCATCTGTGGTCTAAAGGGACGAGTCGTAGGTGCTTGCAACATCCAATCTAATGTATCTCTGTAGAGTCCCAATGACATTTAAATACTTTTAAGGCCCATTCAAACCAAGTCAGAAATTATGGCGGATGTAGTATGTCTAAATTCCAATCATACTATTATTTTTTACCATATAGCAGTGGCCCCAACCTTTTTATCTACACGAATTGGTCAACGCTTGATAATTTTACTGCAGTCTAGGGGGTGGGGTGCTAGGCAACCATTAACCATTTTCTCAGAGGATGACAACCTGACAAATCATTGCTCCCTTGTTTATACAAGTTTTTTTATATATGGAGAAAATTAAAAAGACACTTCCTCCAGCTTCCTCTAGTACCTTCGGGGGGATCCCGAGGCGCTCCCAGGCCATCCAAGAGACATAGTCGCTCAAGCCTTAGCTTTCCTCGATCTTCCCTAAGGCCTTATCCAGGTGGGACATGCCTGAAACACCTCTCTAGGTAGGCGTCCAGAAAGGCATCTGAATCAGATACCTGAGCCACCACAGCTGACTTCTCTCGATGTGGACCAGTACCAACTGATACACGAACCGGTACCAGCCCAGGGGTTGGGGACCACTGCAATATTGAACAAAGGTGCTCAACCCTGTTCCGGGAGATCTACTGTACCTTCCTGCAGAGTCTTGCTCCAACCCCCATCAAACACAACTAAACCAAGTAGGATCTAAAGAAGCTATTGTAAGACAGACCTGTCGTTAAAGACAAGTGTGTTTTATCAAGGTTGCAGCTCAACAGACAACGTGATTGGTTCTACAGGAAGGTAGATCACCAGAAATAGGGTTAAACGCCCATAATATAGAACAAACTTTTCTACGGTCGTGTAGAAAACTCTAATTCAAATGTAGTATCTACACATGCATTCGTCAAATATGCCAAGTACAAAAAGCAGATGAATTTGTTGTTACTATCATAAAAAAACAAACAAAAAAAAAGCTTTGCACAGCTGCAGTCTTTTTGAAATTGAGTTTGAGACCTATGCTGTATATGTAGATGAGTTATTTTGTTGTGTTGGACTTAAACTGACTTGGCTTTTGGTATGTCTATTGTTATAAAAATATATAATGTATTTGTAGTTTATGGATGTGAAAACCTATGACTGCCCCTTTGGACATTAGTTTGTATCTTTTCATAGATTATCAATGATTAATCAACTAAAAGTTTCCTTCTTTTATTCCTCTCTTTCTCTATGCTCTTTTCCCCTGCCCTCTTTTTAACACCTCAACACTTATTCTCCCCCTGCCCAACGGCATCTCTGACCTACTCAGAACGGGGTTGTTCACCCCTGACCTGGCCTTTGAGACTATAGTGAAAAAACAGATCCACAAACTGAAAGAGCCCAGCCTGAAATGCGTGGACCTGGTGGTGTCCGAACTCACCACTGTCGTCAGGAAAAGCTCTAAGAAGGTAACCAAGTCGGATCACCAGAGGCGGAATCCAAATCCAAATCTCCTCCTCCCTTCATTCCCACACGCATCCACCTGCCCAATCAGCTTTCACCTGTGTGAAATCAGCCCCACCCTATTTGCCACACCCATTATATATGTGTGTGTGTCTGCGATGTGCGATGTGCTCACGTCTCTTATGTCTGGTTCCATAATGAAAGCCATACATTTCCATATCCCATGCGAGTCCAACAAAAAGCAATCAAACTGTTTGGAAAAAAAAAATCGATATTCGTTGGTTAGGTCCCAACTCTTTGTTGCTTCATTATAGCATCAGCCTGCCAAACACTTTGACTGTTAAAGTAAAGAACATACAGTGACAGATGCTTTTCCTCCTGGCCCAGACACAAAAGGCTGCTGCTGTTGTCATAGCAACAAAGAACTCATCATCTGCCATCTTGTGGTCATAGGAAGAAATGCAGTGCAATTCTTATGTCGATTCCCTCCTCCTTCCACCTGTGTAACACTTTTTTTTCCTTCCTTGAATCTTTTCACTGTTTCACTCTCAGATTTGGAAGAGTATTTATGGTGTTTAAACCTTAGGGTTTTAATAATTAAGTTTTAATGACTAGGGATGGAAATCTTGAGTCTCCTTTAATTTAGGTTCTTCGGTTATACTATGGTTCAACCAAAAATGCACATTTATTTAATAGTTTACTCAATCTCCCCTCATTCCAGACGTGTTTAGGTTTTGTTTTTTGTTGAAGAAAATAAGGTGATCTAAAGAAAGCTGGAAACTGGGAACAACTTGCATTTTTTGATTTCTGTTATGGATTTAATGTCTACCGTTTTTTAGCGTTCTTCTAAATAACTTATTGTATGTTCAGTTCAAGAAATAAAGACCTTTGGAAAGGATGCACTTCAGGAAAACTACTCCTTTGATAGTTCTCTTTGTATATACCACAGAATTATTGATCCTAATTTTACCTTCTTTTTTTAAAGCCCAAGTTGTCATAACATACAAAGAATGTAAACAAAGGATTGAAAAAAGAAAAAATCAGTACCTACTTTCATACTTTTTTAATGGCAGTCTTTTATTGTGCATTAACTATGTTTATAAAAAAATGAGAATAATTTGAATGAAATATTGATTGGTTGTTGACTTATTTTAGTCATTATAAAAAACATCAATTAATAGTTTCCAATACATGGTTCCGAATATTGATTTCCCTTCTATTGTTGCAATTCTTTTAAATTATTTATACTCAAATCCTGAAAGCTAGGCCTAAAGTTAAGCATTGCTGCACCTGGTCAGTACCTGCATGGGAGGCCACATGGGAAAGCTAGGTTGCTGCCGGAAACAATAATGTTCAGCTGCATGCCCGCAGAACCACACACGTTTCAGGCACACACAATCCAGCAAACACGATCTAGACAAACCATATATGGTTATGACGGATGTTAATGTTATTAATGTCTTCTCGGACATTGTCATCAGTATATCATTTATATATTGTTAATAAATATTGTACATAATAAACAATAGTGTTTACTGTTTCCCAAATATTGCGATCGAGACGGGCGAAAGGGGAGCATTGTTTCCAATCACCATTCAATATGAGCGACTGAACAGATTTTCTATCAGTCATCATAGATGATCAGTCATTATTATCTGACAGAGTCAATTTAGCGATACTCGTTTGCTGGTCTTGCTGAACGATCTAAAATGGACAGGTTTAGTTTATATAATGGATTAATTAATAATGAAGGAAATAATAGCAGGTTAATAAAGGTAATATTAATCTGCTAATAAAAGGTAATAATCAGCAATACATGTTCATATAGTCAAATATTTATAGATTATAAAATGACACATACTGTACCATAACCAGCTGTTAAAAATTACTCAATAGTAATAGTAAGTGAATTATGGATATGGTTATTTGAACCAATTAATTCAAGCGAACCATCAGAATCTGTTCAAGGAAACAGATCTGTCAAATCACGTGTGATCAAAGGGCAAATTATTATTATTAATGAGTTATTTCTAATGAAAAATATAGTTGTTTCCCTTTATGCAATCAACTCTCAAACCTCAACACCATTAAAACAAATTGCCTGCAGACATAGACTTATTTTATTATATATATATATATATATATATATATATATATATATATATATATATATATATATATATATATATACATATATATATAAACCTTTAATGCTTTACTAAAGAACAACAAAGTCACTTATGTCCTGGATTTATTGAGGTTAAGTAAATTAACTGAAATTTTTAATTTTGGAGTATACTTTTTTTCTATTCTCATTAGAGTATTAGTACACTGTAATGTTACTTACTGTAAACTGACAAGTACTTGAACCTTATTTATAGTCAGGAGAATGCCTCTTGTTGGAGTCAAGATGGCCTACCTTATATCCTAACCTGTAAACTATTGAGAATTAGTTGACATGTGGTTGAAATGTAATTTATAGTCAACAAAATGTGCAAATGGAAGCATCAAAAAAATAAATAAATAAATAACAACACTGACATAATAAACATTTGGCTGTAGATTTGGAAAACTTATTTACATATCCCAACTTGAGTCATACCAAATATTACATTTTGTTTACTACTCTTCGAAGTTGGTTGACTCTCAATTCCTAGCTGGGAGTGAATGCTGCCTTATCTGCATAACTTGCTGAAAAAAGTCCAAAACTGCATGCTTGTTTGCCTATATGCTCTTTCTTCCACTGATTGTTCTTGTGCACGGTGGCTTAAGCTAAAGCTAGTCCTCACGTCGGCCTCTGTGAAAAGGTCTGATCGTGGTTAGTTTGCAAAGTGTGCATGTGTGTGTGCACTTGTGCCACATGTATGCTGTAGACTGCATCTCTTTGGTGTTTTTCCCCACAGTTAAGCTCGTACCCTAGACTCCGAGAAGAGACGGAGAGGATCGTCACTACTTACGTCAGAGAGAGAGAAGGGAAGACCAAGGACCAGGTAGGAAACCAAACATAAGATTTGCTTGGGTTTTATTTTGTGCGCTTTCTCAATGTGGCAAATTGTGCTTTTTTCAGGTTCTTTTGCTGATTGACACTGAGCTGTCATACATCAACACCAACCACGAGGACTTCATTGGATTTGCAAAGTATGTGTTGCATTCAGTGCAGTCATTTTTTTTTTTTTTTGGCTTTTGTTTTGTTTCTTACCAGGAGGCTTGCGCCCTAACCATAGTGCAGTGCAAGTCTGGCCCACAGCGCAGTTTAGGAATGGGTCATATGGTCAACATTTACATCACATGATAATTAGGGTAATTTGTCTCAAGCCACATATATAATAGCAAAATAAAATATAATAGGTGTCTTAATCTAAACTCAATCTTGCTAAGCTACAAAGAATTATTAGGCAAATTTAGGCAAAAAAATAGCTAATTTAATTAATGTTAATTTTAAAACAGTAGCCTGTTTGTATGTAGCCTTCACATGGGTCAGATAGCGAAAACTTCAGTGTGAAGTCAATTTCATTATTATAAATGAAACCAAATTCATTATCGATGTAAAATAAATCAAACTTAATAATGTAATAGGAAATATTTGATTATGTTACTAATTGTTGTTTAAAATATTGTTCAACTTTTTAAACCACTAACAGAGTTGACAATAGCAAAGTTGACATTAGGGCTGCACGATATTGGAAAAAATTGACATTGCGATACTTTTTTCCCTGCGATCTATATTACGATATATATATATATATATATATATATCTGTCTGAAAATGACAGTAATTTAAACGTACCATAAAACTTCTATAAGTGCATACAATTCGACACAACTACACAAGCATCATTTTAACCTTTATAACCAAACGTTAACGTTACTCTGTCAACAATCTATTGTCTTAATTACCACGCTAACAGAGCTATGTAAACAGAGAACAACAGATTGCAGATGTCAATAATGCAGCGGATTATATTGATATACCGATCAAACTCCGCTTTAAGTACGCTACAAGTTTATAAACTGCCTCTGCAACCCAGTTCAGATACAAAAATCTATTTAACAAAAAAAGTAATGCAGTAAAGTATTTTTTTTTTGGTCTGCCGAGCCTTCTCTGTTGCTGTGAGGAGCAACAGCCTGCGTCAGTCACCTTTAACCCCGGCCCCACCCTGCCCCGTTGTGTTAGCAGCTAAATCGAATCCAAAGCATTGGAGTGGTACAAATTGTACAAAAGCATTATTTTCGCTATTTAAAGACATAACAATATATATATATATATATATATATATATATATATATATGTTTTTTTTTATCTGTACTTTGTGTAGCAGTAAAGACATTAATTCAAATCCAAATTCATCTGCCTCTGCACTATTATTAATGCATTGGACTTAACTTAAGTGCACTAAATTAATTTGTGCATGTCTTAGATCTCTCAAACTAAGGTGTACAACTAAAGACTGATAGCATGGCAAATGTCTGCATGCTCAGTTACTGTAGAACCCTCAACAAGAAGGCAAAGGTAGCCTACAGCATCGAGCTTGTGTTAGCCTGCTCGCCCGGCGTGTCGCATGTTGTGAGTGTTGTCAGGCCACCTATGTTAATAGTTCTCATGCCGTCACTTTCAGTCTGGATCTCAGACGGTTGGATGACGGTACCATACCAGGGTACAGCAACAACAGGTGTGCAAGCCACATTTAGTTAATTGATAATCGGACCATTCATCTCTTCCTACCAACTCCTGCTTTAGTTGCAGGATTGTTCCGACCCAGAGCAACAAGGAGGTTTATGCAGTCATCATTTTGCTAATGTGGAATACAAACAATACCATCATCAACATGCAATCAGTGTGTAATCAGTGCTTTCTGTATGTTTCCGCCACCTGCAGTGCACAGCAAAGGAATATCGTCAACAAGAAGAGGGCCATTCCCAACCAGGTACACTTTTTTTTCTGTTTCCACATGCTTCCGAGTCCCCGCCGATATCATCACATGCCTTGTTCCACAACTGTTGCCCCCTTTCACCTTTTGTAAACACAAATGGGCCTGACAATGAACCCTGAGGAACTCCTACCATAACTCCCTTATTTATTTTACCTTCTTTAGTAAAAAAATTAACCGTATGTTCCCCAAGATCTCTATCACTTATACTTGTTATTAGCTACACACATTTACAGTGTCCTTACCAGGTGTGACTGGCTTTACACAACAAGTCAAGAGGACATTATTCATGGTTCCCATGCTACTTGAAAGTACTTGGAAATACTTGTATTTAATGCCTAGACAGTACTTAAAAACAAACATGGGTCCTTGAAAGTGCTAGAATATAAAGTATATGGTGTCATTTCAATAATACTTGGCTGCTTTCAAAAATTGAAAAATAAAACAAAAATGTGTTAATTTTTTTTTTAAACTATGACAAATAATATACATTTGGTCAATATTTTAGAAAGCACATTTGATTTTTGCCAGTATTGGATCCACTCCACTTATATATATAGATAGATAGAGAGAGAGAGAACAGGCGTGCAAAAAATACACACAGCCCTGTTTACACTAAAATTTCTTAGTTTTAAAATGTAATTTTAGAACAAAAACGTCCACACTGGTGTTTCACCTAGCATTTCTGAAAAGTCCTGCTTTCACACTATGCGTCTGAAAATGTACATCATGTGACCACACACATATACAAACACACACACTCTGTCATGCACTGCAGTGTATGTGCACATCTAAGCTCCAGCAGTCAGCGGGTGCTTTGAGCTCAAAACTCCAGAGAGCAGTGCACCTCGGACAGTTTATCAAGGATGTACCACTGAATCGCATTTCGCTATAGTTGTTAAGCATGATATTTAATTAATCTTGTCTCTATCTAACGCCTCTTAAGTCTTTTGAATCTATCAGATGACATGTCACAGCATCAGTACACTGCTTCAGTCATTTGCTTTCATGCTTGTACTTCGTAATTTAAGTGAAAACCTCAGATACTGTTGGATGGCTCCTGTTGGTTGTGCACCTTTTCACCAACCAATTTTGTCGATGCCATTATTACAGCACAGATCAATCTGCCTATTCATGCCAGAGTCTTGTGTAAAAAGTAATTGACGGGTGGTAATTTGTGTGTTACGTATCTTTATTTATTTATAATTTGGTTACGGGTAAAATGAAGATCATACCGGTCAGGCAGTTAAAACGATAGGCTACAATTAATTCATTATGGATTAATTAATTATTAATAAATATGTACACTGCCAAATTGGTCGACATCATTCAGCCCTAATTAATATATATTTAAAAATTTTTTTACAACAAACAAGCACATGTTTTAATACATTCATAACCGCGTTCGTGTTTTGCCTTCATGCTTTAAAAAATAATAATAATGCTAAAATAAAAACTGCTAAATTTCGCTCCTGTACAGCAGTCCGACAACATTCTGGCACTGGATGACACTCGAATACCCTGTCAGTAATGTCCAGTGGCTGGGAATGACCTTTTTACAGTGTCTGCTATCATGTTATTGTTGTTTTTGGTGTGTTTACGTAGATGAATATGGCCACTGTGTAAATAGACAGTACAGATACGATCTTATTGCCACATTATATCATTATGATAATTTGATATATGCCTTAAGTGATTTCCAGAAGATAAATAACAAAAAATAACCCAACTGGAATAACTACTGCAGTCCCGATCATCTGATCTCATATGAAGCAAGCGATTGCGAAAACATATGATGACTTGTGCAGGTGTTGAAGTGGTTTCCTAATTCTTAGGGGTAAATTTTGAAGCCCTTCCCCTTCACACTCTGCTTAAAGGGCCAAGGGGAAGGGTTAGGTGTACAAAATTGGAGAGTTGGGATTGGGCCTTATTGTAAATATTAAGTGTAAGAGAAATGTTAAGACTTTCACATTGCTATAAAGTATCTGCCGCGCTGTGAATTACAAATGTGCTTGGTTTTAATTATTAGTCATTTAAAAAGTCCTTGAATTTGGTGTCCATGAAAAAGTGGGGCCCTGATTGATGCATGAGCTGGTTTAAATTCCAACTTCTAATTCAAAAATCTTTAATATTTGTTTGTTTTCCCCCTATAAATTGCTCACAGTCTAAACGAGTAACCCATTTAGAAAAAAGAAAATGCTTATAAAATGTCCCATGGAAACCAAAGTCTCTTTGTCTTCTGGGTCTGAACTGATGTCATGTCAGAACAGCTCTATCGTTCATCAAATTGGGTTGTGGTTGTTATGCATCACGGGACAATTTAAAAAGCGTGTCTCATCCTCACACCTGATAATGGCACTGTGTATGTATTTATGTGTATGGTTTTGTAAAAATTAACACCAAAACCATTGAAGAACATGATCGGGCTTTTATCATGTATCAAAGTTTCAGTGGAAATGACATAAGCAGCTTGAAAGTACACTGTGCTATTTGGCAGGGACATTCCCTTTCATTTCCTCCCTGCTTTTGAGAAACTGTGCTTTCACTAGCATCACAGCAGCACTAGTCGCTAGTAACACTGACGCATGACAAATGAATAATCAATGCATTGTCTTGTTTTTTCCAGTCTTGCCCTAATGCAATGCAAACTTCCTCTTTATATTTGAAGTGTAATCCAGAATGTGCATGGATCCAGCCATGACAATGACAACCTATTATATAATTCTGATTTGTGGTACTGTCAATCTAATTGCATGTAACTTTGTTCTGTTGCTCTCTCTCTCCCTCTCTCTTTCTCTCTCTCTCTCTCTCTCTCTCTGTATGTCTGCCTCCAACCTTTTACTCATTTCTTTTTTAACTCATTCCATCACTTCTATATTCCCAATCTTTTTATATCAATTTCTCTCTAACGCGTGCTGTCCTGGTTTTCCCGCTTTTGCTTGTTTACTGTGTCTCCGTCTCATTTCTTCTACTCAAAACTCGCCCCCACCCCCTTCCCCCTCCCTCTTACTTATCACTACAGGGTGAAATCCTGGTAAGTACCATAAACTTACAAGCCACACCCAGTTAAAGGTCACCAGTGCTTATCCAGACAGGAGAACTGAGGCCGTAGCAGGTTCATCATTTTTTTATTGAAGCAGTGTGGACGGCATACCTCTGTGTAAACTTGATATTGGCAAGGATTATAAAGCTGATGGTTGTTCTTTCACCCTGCAGCTAGGTGGCCTGAGAGAAGGTGAAGCTGAGAAGGTATAGTCTGGTGGAATAACAAAAACAAAAAAGATATAGTGAAACCGGGAGTCAATTAAAATCATGGCTAGTTCAGTTATACACTGAAAAAACTTTAAGTTGTTGCACCTTGATTAACTTAGTTTTTTTTTCCCCTATTCATCAGAGTTTTGAGTTGTAAATAAAGTTTATAAAACTAATTAATTTAGGTACAGCAACTTGACAATTTATATTTATTTATTTGTTTTTGTTTGTTTGTTTGTTTTATTTATTTATTTATTTATTTATTTATTTATTATTTTTATATTTTTATTACTTTGTTTTATTTATTTAGTATTATTATTATTTATATTTTTGTTTATTATATTGTTATTATTTAGTAATATTTATTTAAAATTGTATTTATTTTGTTTTATTATTTATTTATTTATGATTTTGTTTTATTTATTTATTGTTATTATTTAGTTTTTATTTATTATTTTGTTTATTTATTTTTGTAATTTGTATTCATTTGTTTGTTGTTTTGTTTTATTTATTTGTTCAATATTTTGTTTTATATATTTATAATTTCATTTATTTTATTAATATTTTTATTAATTATTACATTTATTTATTATTTAGTTTTTTTATTATTTATTTTGTTTTATTTATTTATTTTGTGTTATATTTTTAAGTTGTTCTCATTTTAAATATGTTTACATTTTTTCAGTGTTGTAACTGACCTTAAATCCACCATAGTGTGCTCACTGTAATTGGTGGCATCACCTAACAATCTGTAATTATTGTAATTAAAGAAAGAACATATTACTAACCGTTTTTAAATAATTCACAGTGCACCTTATTTGTTTCACATATCACTGTATTTTTTCATGCATGCATTTTTTGTAATGAGTAAACTGTATGTTGAGTGAAATGGAGGCCTCGGTTGTCCTGTTGTGGATGTCCTGGCGGTCCTGACTGGGTGAGCAGAGTTTGCCTTGTGGAGAATCAGCCTCTACATCAACTTGGGGATATGGTGGGTGGGCAGGGCCAAGGAAACATCTAATCAAACCAAGGAACTGAACTCAAACCCAAAATAACCTGTGGTGTGTGTTTGGGTATTCTTTGTGGTGTGCATTTTCTAATTTGATTATTTTTTTCTAAGAAGAGCTAATCAAAATGATTTAACACACTCAAATATAATGGTATTCTTTGTACTAACAATTCATCTAAAGTAGGACTGGGCTATATATTCATAAAAAAAAAAAAAAAAAAAATATATATATATATATATATATATATATATATATAATTACAATAAATAAACAATATTCAGTATTATTATGTTTAAAAGAGGAAGGAAATTTTTACACTTTGTGTGATAATATTTTTTCTTCTGGAGAAAGTCTTATCTGTTTTATTTTGGTTAGAATAAAAGCAGTATTTTTTAAACACCATTTTAAGGACAAAATTATTAACCCCTCTAAGCTATATATTTTTTCGATAGTCTACAGAACAAACCATCATTATACAATAACTTGCCTAATTACCCTAAACTGTCAAGTTAACTTAATTACCCAGTTAAGCTTTTAAATGTCACTAAGCTGTTTAGAAATGTGTTGAAGAAATCTCTCCGTTAAACATAAATTGGGGACAAAAAAATAAACTGGGACTAATAATTCACTATATCTATGTCTGTGTGTGTATGTATGTATGTGCATGTATATATATATATATAATATATATATATATATGTATATATATGAACTTATCTAAACTTTTTATATAGTTATATATAATTGACATTAATTATTAAGTTAAATTTGATTAAAAATATCTTGATAAAAAATTTATGTAACCTAGTGTTTTAAAGAATAGTTATAAAAAACATTTAAAATTAATTAATTGGCATCAGCACCGAAATCCCTAAATTGCTTTTTGATTAATTACCTATGTAAGCAGTTAATTGAAATCTTTTTTCAAATGTGTATATATGAGCAATAACACACTCATAGCAGTGCAATATGGTTGTATATCGACATTGGTGGGAGGCTTGCGTTGGCACGAGGCCGCAGGCCGAGTGCCTTAGTGCCCCTATCAAAGCCGATAAACAGCCATATTGCACTGCTACGAGTGTGATATTGCGTTAATACAACAATTTGACGCCACAATTGTGTATATAAAAACAAAATTAAACATGAAGAGTCTCAAAAACCCTTTTGTATGAGGACCTACTTTCTTCCGCATTGGATTCAAATCATAAGCTGAAAGTTAAACAGCTGAGCAAGCATCATTTAAACTTTAGATCTGTACTGTCTGCTTTTTGCTGGCTGTATGTGGGCGGAGTAATACACAAAGGGTAAAGAGGCTGATATTACTTAATTATATCACAGCTATCAGCCAATCAGATTCGAGAACCAGAATCTGTATCCAAGTTTGATGAATCATTAAATTCAATTATTTTAAAGAACCACTAAATGATAGGGACAGTTAAACTCAAAAACATGACTTTGTTTCCAAATAAAAAGTCATATTAATCATTTTGTCACATTTGTGTGCCTCTTGTAAAATTAAAGTGTGTAATCAATATATTGTCCAGCCCTACTCCAACATTTGGTTAGTATTATTCTTTCCTCCTTGTTGTTCCGGTAGTGGCCAGAATGTGGCAGTAGTGGGTTCCTTTTCCTAATCAATTGACTTTTAATTTACCAAATTACCCGCTCAACCTTAGAGAAATCCTTTCTGGGGCAAAGTTAACTGTGGGATTTCTGTCAGTGTGTAATTAACAGTCGCCTCTCACAGGTAATCATCTAATCATCTCATCCTTAATTCAAAATCATTCCTTCTATCAACAGATTTCCACCGTTGATCATATTTTACACACTCGCTGATTATGACACATTTCAAATGAGCAAAATATTAGGATTAATTAGTGCAGACAGCAGTCAGAAATGTGTGAAGTGGAATGAGAGATCCAAACGCTAACAGAAAACAGGGTCACGTTCTCGTTTTCTTTCGGCTGAGGGCGGCATAAAGGAAATTGGATCCATGTTGGAGAACACAGAGCTCGAGCCAGACTCTGACCGCAGATATTTGCTGGGTTTCTGTCTAATGAAAAGATGTTTCCACAGCGTTTTTGCGGCCGTTTGTTCGGGTCTTCAGTGCAGGTCTTAGCACGAGATGTCTGAGCAGTTCTTTCTTTTCCTTTCTCTGGGGTTTAAGAAGTTTAAAGGCATTTTCCCACCAAGGCAAACAATCTATGTAGTCTATAACATTATAGTTTTATTTATTTATTTATTTTTTTCCTGTCGGCACTTTTTTAACTCTAACCCTCTCACTTCTCTTAGTTTCACTCCGGCTTTTAGTGACAAGAAAACACAGAAAGGGAGAGAAGGGATTGTTTACAGTAAAAAAAGTTACAGATGCACTGTGGAGTTACAATGTAAACTTGTTAAAGGGATAGTTCCCCCAAAATTTAATCACACTTGTTTCATCTTTTTTTTCTTCTGTTGAACACAAAAGAAGATAATTTGAAGAATGTTGGAAACCTAACCAATGACTTTCATGTTATTTGTTTTTCTTGATATGGTGCTTTTTGTTTTTCTTGATAATGCTCACAAGGTTTCAGCTTTTAGTGTTTAACAAAAGAAATGGGTGAAGCTTTGGAACATAAACAGGGAGTACATTTTCATTTTTGTGTGAACTATCCTTATAAGAATGTAAGAAAAGATTAATTGTTTTGTAATGTTTGTGTTTCCACGACCCTTAACATCCACATACCCTTAAAGCACAGGTCATATGGTATTAATGGTTATTTTTGTCAGAATATGCATCTTTAAATCATTTTGTAAGTGAATTGATACAGTTTTACAGTATTCTTCATCCCAAACAATTTTTAAATTAGCTAATTATTTATTCACCCACCTGTGTTTTAAATCCTTTACACTTTTTTTTTTTTGGTCTGTTGAACACACAAACATAATAAAATATAATTGCATATAACACAGTAAAACAAGATATTTTGAAGGATGCAGGCATCTTGTACTTCTATAGTACAAGTTGGCTTGATCTCTGGGTCTAGCAGGAGCACTTTTAGTTTAGCTTAGCCATAATCATTGAATAGGAATAGGCCAGAGGTGGCCAAACTATGACCCACTGAACACTTTCATCCGGCCCGCGAGGAAGTTTTTAAAATGCTGCTTTTGAGTAACGGTTTGGTTCAGAATTGTAAATTAATGATGCAATACAAGTGAATGCCATGTGATGGCAGTATTGCATGTGGTATAGTTAGCGCAACCAGTGGAATTAGAACACACTCTCGAATATTAAAATGCACTCAACCATTAATGACTGAAAATGAGTCATTGATAAGAAAAATTGACTCTGAATGTCATGTGTTTAAGGAAGAATAGACAACAAATGACTTCTTCACCAATATCAGACAGAAAGCGGTAGGTCTTTAATGCCAAGAAAGTATTGCTGTTTTTAAAGACTTCAACCTAAGGGGCTGATCTCACCGAACATGCTTTATGCGTTAAGAGGCGCTTCTTTAGAATGGTTTACCAACAGCCACAAGGGTTTTGCGCACTGCTTATGCGCCCTGTGCGCCTCGCATTTTAACCATTGCCCCATGACAAACTAATTCAATAGCTCTGCTACAGCCATGGTATGGCAGCAAATCCCTTGTTTAAATTGCTGAATTGACTGTACAGTTTCAAGCTACATCTGCCTAGAAAATAGCAATTTGTAAATCAAAAATATCAACCTTTTTTATTTATTTATTTATTTTTTTAAATACTGAGCGAGATGTTAATGGTCCAATTTGAATCAATAATTTATGCTAAACTAAGCTAATAGTGCTCCCACCAGATCTAAGGTTCGACTGAATGGATTAAAACATGGTAAGACTTTTAACTGTTTAACTCTAGGAGACTTGAAAAGTTAGCCTATTTCCAAAAATATTTTTATTAATGAATTAAAATAATGATAATAATAATGATAATAATAATTCAGTGTTTCTTTAAGGCAATTCATATTTTTCTTTTTGGAGACATCATTTTTATTCATCATACACTTTTTTGATTGCCAATTATAGCTGTTACAAACTGTAAATAATATATTTTATGAAAGCCAATATGACCTGCTCTTTAACCCTCAAGAAATAACATTGAAATTCTACTGAAAGCCCTTCTTCTTTAGACCCATTTTTATTATTATTTTTTTTTTCTTCTGACTAATAGTTTTAGCTTTCCTTCTTCAGGTTCTACATATTTTCTTGGCAAATATCCTTTACAACCCACTTACCTGTGTCTTCTCTCACATTCATTAGGTTTTCACACTCGAGTGTTTGTCTTTCTGTGTTTAACACCACTAACGCCGCTCTATTGCGTTTATTAGCATGCCGACTATAGCTTTTACTCACCAGTTTGACCCTAACATACCAACTCTCACCCCTGATCATATGGCTGGTCAGTGGGGTCTGGATAACATCTGCTGAATCTTTGGTCTGCACTTTGGTAAAACTCTTGTAGAGGACCAAAAAAAAAAGAAAAAAGAAAAAAAAAAAGACTAACACAACAAAATTGTTCCTTTGTTCTTTTATTGCTGCTCTATTTCAAGTCTTCCAGACACTCCCCAGTGGTTTTTGTTCGTGTTTATTCAGTGTTTCTAGAGCGTTTATTTGTGACTAAGCTTTAATTGCTGCCTTATGTTCTGACAAGAATAGTAGAGTGTATTCCAGTGGTTCCCAACTGGTTATCCGCAATCTAAACTTAAAAGGTTTGCTTAAAAAGCAAGACAAATGCAAAGCTAACAGCGAGGAATGATATAATGTTGGAATGTATTGACTTTTAAAAGAAGCAACTTTTGTGTGCTTCAAAATAATGTGAATAAATTATAAAAATAGCAACCAAACATTATTTTGTTTTAATGTAAAAGGTAATTAAAACGTAAGAAATATATTTTTTTTTAAATAATGCATATCTTTCTACTTCATATTTCATGTTCATTTTGACATGTTACCCATTATTTATAAAAAATTTCAAAATGGTTTCGTAAATGTTTTTTTTTTTTGTGTGTGTTTTTGCTAGTACTAATATAACATTTTGTAGATGGATAGATGGATAGATAAATCGCTAGATTTATGGATGGATCCACTGCTAGATAGATTAATGGATGTATTGATTTATTGATTGCTAGATAGATTGGATGGGTGGATGGATGGGTGGATGGATGGATGGATGGATGGATGGATGGATGGATGGATGGATGGATGGATGGATGGATGGATGGATGGATGGATGGATGGATGGACAGGTTACTAAATAGATAGATTGCTAGAACAGTGGATTGATGGATGGATTGCTAGATAGATAGATTGCTAGATTGATTGATATATTACTAGATGGATGGATGGATTAATAAATGGATTTCTAGATTATCAGATAGATGGGTGGATGGATTGATTGCTTGATGGATGGATGGATAGATGGATGGATTGCTATAAAGATTGCTAGGTTGATTGATGGATGGATGTATGTATGGATTGTTTGATAGATTGATTGATGGATGGATGGATAGATGGATGGATTGCTAGATAGATGGATGGATAGATTACTAAATAGATTGCTAGATTAATGGAGTGATTGCTAGATAGATTAATGGGTGGATAAATGGATTGCTGGATGGATGGATGGATGGATGGATGGGTTGCTAGATTGGTTGATGGATGGATTGCTAGATAGGTAGATTGCTAAATTGATTGATATTTTGCTAGAGATAGATCGATTGATAGATATATGGGTGGATGGAAGGATAGGTGGATTGATTGCTAGATGGATGGACAGATTACTACATAGATAGATAGATTGATTGATAGATTGATCGCTGGATGGATGGATGGATGGATGGATGGATGGATGGATGAGTGGCCGGGTGGTTGGGTTTATGGGTGGGTATGTGTATCGATAGATGAATTGTTGAAATGAACATGAAATGAACAATCAATATATAAATTAAGTAAAAAATATATCAAATTAAATAAATATATGAATTAAAAATATAATTCTATCTACAATAGTATGTCAATCCTAAAATGTAGACAGTATCTAGTCATTTCAATATCAGTTTTATTTTTATGATTGTCATTTAAGTGCACAGGATTTTTTATTTTGTATTTTAGGGCAAAATTGGCATTTAGACATTTTTCTAATGGACTTAATTGTGCTTCATACATTAAACAAACCATTGCCAAACAGCCCAAAAATCAAAACAATCATAAATGTCATTAATTTTACCGCAAAGACCAGCTGAGAGCCACTGCTTTACTTAAAAAACCCCCAGCTCCATAGTTATCCACATTAGCTATTCTAAAAATGACTCCAGCAGTGTTTTACCAGAGTATTGCCAAGTATTACCCACCAGGTAAGTGCACTCAACAGGCCCTGTAGAATAGTTCAGCATAGGGCACAAATCTACAGAGCTATGACTGTATGGGTCTCACAAATGTTTCCCACTCCTGTGGCTTGTCCTGCACCCTTTCCCCCCTCCGTCCCACAGGTGATCCGTAAAGGCTGGTTAACCCTGAACATCAGCATCATGAAAGGAGGTTCAAAGGAGTACTGGTTCGTCCTGACTGCCGAATCGCTGTCCTGGTACAAAGACGAGGAGGTGAGCTTCATCTGTTTCTCATTTCTCTCCCTCAGTCCCTTCCCCCCTCTCTTTCTCTCCAGCTCAAAAGTAGCGTCGCTCAAGCTGGACTCCATCTCCATGTGTGCTGGAAGTTAGCGCAGAGTGTAGAGAGCTCCTGCGGCTCGACTGGTGGAACTTCAGATTCGTTCTGAACAGAAACGTTAATGTCAGCACGCTGAAAAAGATGCAAGCTTGAACGTGTGCAGTGTTTTGTTTTTGGATTTCATATAACAAATATTTTATGTAATGATTAGTTTTGAAAATATCATTTTAGTTTTTTAATATTCCGTTAACATTTTTACATGTGTTTCTTCATTTTTGTCAAACGTCCACCCTAAATGAAAAAAGCTTGTACTTTGAGTATATATTTAAAAACGTAAAGAAATTGAGTGCTTTTCATGTGGCCAATAACTATTAATTCATTTATTTTACAGATAAATATAACTATATATTTGGATTATATTGGAATACGGCATTTTCGTCATATCGATCAGCCCTAATGTCAAATGTATTATCAATATCGGGAAGAAAAAAAACTGATGTAAACTGACAAATAATAAATAACTAAAATGACAATTATAGTCTTCATCGTATAAATAATTAAAGCTTTGTAAAAGCTTTAAACATTATAACATCTTATACAGGGTCTTAAAGGTTTTAAAATGATTTAAAATCCTAAAACTAAAGTCTTACAATTAACAAAATATTAAACAGGTCTTAAACAGGATCTTAAACAGGCCCTAATATCCGTGAAAAGCAACTCGTTCAGGCCAAAGTCATCACAAGCAATCTATCTCAGTAGAATTTTCAATAAATAGTTTAATTTTAACACTTTATAGTTTAATTATCTTCCATACAACATTCATTTAAAAGTTCTTCATTTATTTATGGTGAGGGAACTCACCTGCAGAGATATTTTGTTGTGCAGATATTTAGCTTTTTTAATGATACAATATTTAAAATATGTGGCTAAGAAATAAGCAAATTAGAATTTCTTTGAGGATAGTAAAAATATTGTCCTTTTTCATCAGAAAATCTAATCCTTCTAGTGTTTACTGCTTTATAAGTCTTAAATTTCATTTATAATGCTCTTGAAAAGTCTTGAAAATTTCACTTTAAAAAACTTGCAGAAACCCTGGTTCATCTTCAGAACACAAATGAAAATATTTTCTGATGAAATCAGAGAGCTCCCTCATCCTCCATATACAGAGGTGGTCCTGAGACGCAAGTCATGATTTTGCCAAGTACGAAGCGATTCTGAGTAACATCTATGTTGATCCTATACCATCATTTTGTTGTAAATTCCCCATCCCTAAACCCAACCATAACTGTAAACGAGGAACATCAGAGGGGAATAACAGTTAGAAAACAACGATATAGAAGTGCATAAACCTAAGCGTAAGCCAAAACTTAACATAAACGGTAAACGTGTCCCTTAATTCTGATTGGATAGATGTTAATAGTTTTTATAGATGTTGATCATGTCCTACTTGGTTAAATCAAGTTAGGGTCCGTAGACACAAAGTCATTTTTTTTTTCAAATCAGAAAAAAACTTTAGAATATCTTGTGTCTGGATGCTTTAAACTGCATTAAAGGCCTTATAAACGCATGCTAACTCTGTTATGGTTAAATGTTACTGATTACATATATATTTTATGTAATGATTAATTTTGAAAATGTAATTTTAGTTTTGGATTTTTTTTTATATTTCTACATGTATCTCTACATTCTTAGTCAAACTTCTACCCTAAAGTTTTTGAAAAAAGTGAGAAAAAAATCGTACTTTGAGTATTTATGTAAAAATGTTTAAAAGAAATAGTCTTTTCCATATGGCCAATAACTATTAATTCATTTAATTTACAGATAAATAAAACTAAAACTATATTCGGACTATATTGTGATATGAGGGGACTTGTACATATAGCAATTGTATTATCGGTATTAAAACTGACGATGTGATTATTTAGTTTTACCACATTTAATTTATTACTATATAAACACAACTTCATCAGATGACTTGAATGGCTCTAATTCTTGAATGGCTCTAATTCGTCATTTTACATTGATTTGGATTAATTTTGTAGAGGAGAATATCTGCATTAAATATACTAAACCAATTTAACTAATAGATAAATACAACAGAGCAAACATGTGAATTAAAAAAAGTGCTTTATTAAAACTTATTTAAAGGTCTTAACAACGCATGCAAACTCTATTAGGGGTAAAGTTTACTCCATGTAGGCTCCACATTGTGAATTCAGCGATGTGGTTCATTGCGATGTCGATGCTGAAACGATGTATTGTGCGGGGCTAAAGTCTTGCTTTATTCGTTCACCGGCGAATGGCAGAGATCTTACGGCGGCTTGGCGGGTGTGTGTGTCCCAGCCCAGCCTAACCAATGTGCGGACTACTGTTCAGCTGCAGCATGATGAACAGGTAGTCTGAACACTGGGCAGGCGAGGGGGAGGCAAGAGGTGGCTGGAGCGTAGGTCACTGCCCTGAGGACCGCACACGACTGTGGAGAGAGTAAACAATTCACATACACACACACACACACACACTGATAAAGACCTTCTCAACGGGTATGATTGGTGCAGGCAGATTGGTAGTCGACTTCAAATAAATGTAAATAAAAAGAAAATAATTGGTAGTGCAAATGAGATTGGAATGTTTTCAAAGTCAGATGTTTGGATTGTAACTTTTTTGTAAACTTAAAATAAACTTAATTACATTTTTAATTTAAAAGCTAAAAATTGGTAGTCCAAATGTAGCCAAATGAGACTAAAAATATCTTGAAACTATGAATGTTTAAATTGTAATTTTTTCGTCGACTTAAATATATAATTAAAAAGTAAAAAAAAAATAATAAAAAATAAATTGGTAGTCCAAATGTAGCCAAATGGGGCTAAAAATGTGGTGAAACTAGGGATGTTTGGATTGTAACTTTATCAACCTAAAATAAAATAATTAATAAGTTTAAATAATAAAAAAAATGTCCAAATGTAACCAAATTAGACTGAAAATGTTGTGAAACTATAGATGTTTGAATTGTACATTTTTCGTCAACTTAAAATAAATATATTATTAAAAAGTTTCAATTAAAAAAAAGAATAATTTAGTAGTCTAAATGTAGCCAAATGAGGCTGAAAATGTTGTGAAACTATGGATGTTTGAATTGTAAATTTTTCGTCAACTTAAAATAAATATTTAACCGAAAATTCAATTAAAAAAATAAAGAAATTCTTAGTCCAAATGTAGCCAAATGAGACTAAAAACATCATGAAACTATGGATGTTTAGATTGTAACTTTTTGTCAACTTAAAATAAAAATATAATTAAAAATAAACAGTTTTCCTTCTGACTAAATTTACATATCAAGAAAATAAGTCAACACTTAATTAAAAAGGTTTTGCAAAGCATAAAGGTGATGTAACCAGTAAGGTTGGATTTTTATCTTACAATTCCCAAAATCGTAGTCCCATTTTAATAATGTAGTAAACATGAAAGTGCAAAGGGTGATTTACGCTTTTTTAATGTAAAGTAATACCGTTTTCAAATGGAAAACATTGTGAATGCAAAATAGACAATAATAAAATATTCCGATATATTACACTGTTAATTTAGTAGAGAATATTGTTTTAATTTAAATTAAAACATAAATTAACCCCTATACTAATGAAATGCAGTTCGTTTAAATTAACGTCTTCTATTTTTACATTTAAAACGTGTCTCATACGAAGTGATGAATGCAAACAAAGAATAAAAAACATAGATCTGCCCATACATATTTACAAATATCGATAATACATTGAATCTTGAACACAATAAAATCCTTTAAAATCTTCGTTACTCTTTAATGATTAATGATTTTAATTTCAAACATACTTTCAGGATACTCACACATTCACTGCTGCGTGGCAAATCCATATCCCAGGCCTCCTTCAAGAGGAATAACGGAGCGTTCTGCCATCATGGCTCCTTTTTTCATGTTCTCAACCACTTACAGTCGCACTTACCACGCTCTGCCATGATGCTTTTTCGATAAACTCTTAGAAATGTTCCCTTGGCGGTTGTTTCCGATGCAAAGAGACAGCAGAAAACGGAGAAAAGAGAGGCAAAGAGCGGGACCAAAGTAAAAAAAGGGACGAAAGGGGAGGCAAAGTGACGTGGCAAGCGTACTGAAATGTTCCAGCCGGGATCCGACTTTGGAATTTGCAGGAAATCGTACTGGGTTACTGGGGGGTTGTTGTGTGTGAGTGTGTGTGTATATGTGTGTGTATATAAGAGTGTGTGTATGTGTGTGTTGGGGGCAGGGAAGTGCTTTTCTGAGTGATGTAACTGTTGGGGCCGAAGCTGCACAGACATAAACGTTTCCAGATGCTGCTTCTCAACTCAACAGAAAGAGTTGGCAGCGTTAGTCTTCATCCTGACTCCTCCTCTGCTCTTTCTTTTCTCTCTCTCTCTGTCTCACATCCCCCTCTCTGACTTGGCAACCTGGTGGTCCTTCTTTAAAGGGAACGTTCACTTAAATTAAAATTCAGCCATTAATTAGTCATCCAAATGTTGTTTTCAAATCAATATGGCTGCAGAGGCACATAAAATGATCATTTTTTTTTTTTTTTTTAATCCCATCCTCACACAGATTAAAATTGATTCCACATGATAGATCAATTCCACATGATAGATCAAAAAATCGAGAGATCTATTTATCTGTTTATCTATGTATATTTATCCATTTAGCCACTTCCAAATGTCAGGGTTCATACAGTCATGGAAAACCTGGAAAAAGCATGGAATTTTGACATGGCTTTTTCCAGGCCTTGAAAAGTTTTGGAAAAACAGAAAAACCCACAAAGTTTTGGAAAAGTCATGGAAATTACTTTTACATTAGCCATTTAGCAGATGTTTTTGTCCTAAGCGACTTAAGGTGAGGTCACACTAGAGCTTGTGTTTGCGAAATTCTGTCGTACGACGAAGGGGCGGCATTAAACAATAGGATTAGACATTAATAAATGAATAAATGTCTTATTTTAAATGATCTTTTATTGATCTAACACAATCACGTGATGTGATATCGCATGTAAGAATTCACCAAGCTTGAACTTTCGAATGCAGTGAAATGTGAAAAGTGTCGCACGTGCTTGTGTTTCTGTTATGCCACATTCGCATGCCTATGAATGGAAGTCTATGGAGTGAAAAGTGCAGTGTGAACAACATCATCTTAGGGTGCTTTCACACCTACACTTTTGTTTCGGAACCCGTCTCGTTTGCCCAGTTAGTGCGGTTCGTTTGGCATATGTCCAGCATGTAGTGCACATTTTCAAAGCAGAATATCTGACTTCAGCATTGTTTTTCAGATAAACAAGAATGTTCACTTGACCTGTTTCTTCAATATCTGCAAACATATTACGGTATTGTATGCTTTAGAAGAGTCAAAAACTTACATACAGCACCTTTAGTATAGCAAAAGTGGATTCAGACATGCCCTTAATGCTTTTGTGCCATGCACTTTAGACTTTGTGCCTATATCTTTAAAATAGAGCCCTGGATGTCAAACCTTGTTACGTAATCACATTTGTGCTGGACAAACTGACTTGTTTACAACACATCAGAGACAAGCGTGTTGTATTGTATTGCTCGCTTATGCTTCTCTGGAATACATAAAAAAGGTGCCAACAAATCTCAATTGATTCCAACAATATTGTCTATACTGTTAAATTTTTTACTTAATTTTTACCTTCATAGCCGTCATCTTTAGTGTAAACATGCTTTAAGACTCTGCCTTTTTCATTTCACTCTAATAGGAAAAAGAGAAGAAATACATGCTTCCTCTGGATAACCTGAAGCTCAGAGACGTGGAGAAAGGCTTCATGTCCACTAAGCACATTTTTGCAATCTTCAACACTGAGCAAAGGTTAGGGCTGACTGCAGATCTGTGTGTGTTTGTGTGTTTGTGTTTGGTGGCTTCATGTGTTCGATCCCCCTCGCAGGAATGTGTATAAGGACTTGCGTCAGATCGAGCTGGCCTGTGACTCGCAGGAGGACATGGATAGTTGGAAAGCCTCTTTTCTCAGAGCAGGCGTTTACCCTGAGAAAGATCAGGTACTGATCCAACACACGCACAGACAAACACATTTAACATGATATGAGTTAATAAATCATAAAACTGAGCATTACGAGCATTACTCACTTGAAAGCATATCCAAACAAATCACAAAATAACCGGGCTGGCCACACATCTTTTCTCCCACGCTAAACAGCTGAAAAGCATAATAGAAACTTTTTGGACGAGCCTCCAATTAATGTTACTGACAACATCAGGAACATTAAATGTAATTGACAACATCAAATGAGGGAGAACACAAACTGATCGGTCTGGGGGTTTTATTAACAGATCAACCTAATCAAACTGTGGGGAGAAAGCACAATAAACTAAGGCTGAACACTAAATGGAGCACAACTCCGCGTCTGGGCGGCCGCTTAAATCCCTGTTACTGAAGTTCTGCAGAGTAAGCTCTAAAACGCCAACGGTCAATCATCCTCAGGTGCAAAGAAGTTTAACCAATCAAATTCACAAAGACAGAAACAAAACGCTAGAGGGCAGCAAAGTAACATAAATAAATAAATGGACATGTAACGTGCCTGTTATTTGTAGTATTTTCATACAATAGCAACTTAAACTACCCCTTTAACATATACAACAAGAAACAAAATGCTGGAGTTTTGACTGCATATACCATATGGAAGAGTGACTTAGTGTGTGTCTATTGCTCGGTCATACACACAACAATCACAGATATATATCAACAGCTCAGAGAAACAATAAATGTGCTGATTTGCATTAGCACTGATGACAGGTAATGCTTGAAATATAAACATCATGTCTGGTGTCCTAAGATGGATCAGTTATGTCAGGTTTCCACTTTTTTCTTTTGCTTGAATATTTATGTTATGAATTGTTAGTCACTCAAATGACCCCCCTCCAATTTGAGTTTGAGACCCCTGTTTTAAAGCAACCTTATACTTTTAAATGTTAATTCTTAGTGTAATTTATGTATGTGATTTTACACTAGTTCTAATTCTAATGATTATTTAAACTAATAATGCTGATTTATATTTTTTTCTGAAAATCTTGTCTTTTTATTTGTTTATATTTTTATAATGAATTAAAATTCTGTTACATTTACACAACATAACCTTTATCATTCATTCTTTCATTTTCTTTTCAGCTTAGTCCCTTTATTAATCTGGGGTCACCACAGAGGAATGAACCGCCAACTTATCCAGCATATGTTTTACGCAGAGAATGCCCTACTCAGCAACATTTCCACTTTTTCATTTTTCAGTAGATTTGTAGTGTCTAGTACAGCAGACATGTCCAAGCTTGGTCCTGGAGGGCCGGTGTCCTGCAAAGTTTAGTTCCACCCCTAATCAGACACACCTCTGCTAGCTAATCAAGCTCTTACTTGGCTTTCTAGAAACATCCTTGCTTGTGTGTTGAGGCAAGTAAGAGCTAAAATCTGCAGGAGACCAGCCCTCCAGGACCAGGTTTAGACACCCCTGTAGTACAGTGTTTAAGAAAACCAGGTGGAGAAAGTTATTATATTGAGATGAAATACTTATGAGCACTAATGGATTGTTTGCTTGTTTCTATTTGACAATTTGACAAAAGTCCCAATTAAACTAATTCAGTGTTTCTCAACCACGCTCCTGTAGGAGCCACAGCTCTGCACATTTACCTTGTCACCTTAACCAAACACACCTGATTCAGACATCCAGATCAGATCAAGATTGTGGATAGCTTTGAATGTCAACATCAAAATTTTGAAAGCAATTCGAAAATGAACTGGTAACCAGTGAAGCTGCTGCAGGACAGGGGTGATGTGATAAGAAGAAGGGGTTCTGGTGATGATACGGCAGCTGAGTTCTGAACCAACCATGAAGCTTACATGGGGATTTATGAGTGAGACCAAATTAAAGGAAGTTGCAGTAATCTAAACGAGATGTGACAAGGCTATGAACGAGAACAGTAGTGGTATGAGGGCTAAGAGAAGGACGGAGACAGATAATGTTGCTTAGGTTGAACTAAGCAGACCGGGTGAAGTTATTATCAAAAGAACAGTCATCGATAGAAAGAGCAAAGCTGTCAGTTTTGGAGTGTGTTAATTTGGTCCCAACAAGCAAAACCTCAGTTTTTGAGCTATTTAATTTAAAAAAGTTAAAAGAGAGCCAGGATCTGATTTCTGTTAAGCAGACTGTAAGGGATGTAGGTGGAAAACAAGAAGAGGGTTTGCCAGAGAAATAGAGCTGGGTGTCATCCTCATAGCAATGATACTGTAAATCATAAAAGAAGTAAAAACATCATCAGCTCAGCAACTCACCACAAATAGATCTTCAGTTTCAACCATTGTTAAAATTGACCTGACGTATTTTTTTCAGTTTCACTGCTAAACCAAAAAAGCTGTTTCCCCAAATCTAAGGACAGTTTAAGGCGAAACCAGTTAGAGATTTCTTCAGTTTGTTTACATAATTCACTTAGAGTGTTTATTTATATTATAAGTCACTTTTTCAAGAATTGTATTTCTTGACAACTCATTTATTGTATGTGCGTGTGCAGGTGGAGTCAGAAGAGGCAGCCCCAGCCGACAGCTTCTCCATGGACCCTCAGTTGGAAAGACAGGTCGAGACCATCCGTAACCTGGTGGACTCCTATATTGGAATCGTCAACAAAACCATCAGAGACCTCATGCCCAAGACTATCATGCATCTCATGATCAACAGCGTAAGCGCACAACCATTCAGATTTAAAGGGGACCTATTATGCCACTTTTTACACGATGATGTAAAGTAAGTCTCAAGAGTGTGTAAAGTTTCAGCTCAAAATACTCCACAAATAATGTTTTATTACTCTTTGAAATACTTTTACGGTGTGTTCATTCCAGAGTCAGAGGGAGCATCTAGCACACAGGTGTCAAAGCCTGTTCCTGGAGGGCCAGAGCTTTGCACAGTTTAGTTTCTATCCTAATTAAACACACCTGGGGCCTGTTTCAGTAAGGAGGTTCAACCAACTCGGAGTTTAAACTCGAACTTGATTTATTGAGAGATTAAAAACTCATAGTTTTCAGTTTCAGAACAACCGATCTGAGTTAGGTCAATCAACTTTGAGTAGACCAACTTAAGTTAAGAGTTAAGCGCGCACACAGCAACTATAAAAAGGCATTATCAATGGAGCACAGATATTACGAGTGACCATGGCAACATCTTAAAAATAAATCACCATTTCTTTCTCCAGCTGAATTTGATGTGCTCATGCAAAGTTATAGCAAAAATGAGCATATATTTAAAAAAGAAACACCACTGCATCAGTGAAACAGAGACAGTTAGCGTGGGAAAACAGCTGATCAAGTTAATGCCTAATTTTACATTTAAAATATTTAAGTATAATAAAATAAGTAATGTTATGTGTGACGTTTATAAATTTTTTACACACGTTCCCACTTTAAACGCATTGAAAGTGCACTTGTTTGTCTGCCTTTTTTATTGATCAAGTGATAGAGGTTGATATGACCTTTAAAATGTAAGCAGATCTAAAAAAGTTTTTAGAACGAATAAAAATCCCATTAATCTAGTAACAGTACATGTCCCTGTTGAAGGTCAGTAAATTTAAGCTAATTATTTATTAAAAAAGGATAAGGTATTCCCATACGTGACGTTGCTCTTTGTGTGACTGAAAGGAAGGCAATAGCTATGTTTCCATCCAAATATATTAATTAAATTTATGTGCAAAACTGGAATAAAAGATGTGCAAATAAAGCAGCATTTCCATCCAACGAGTCGAAGAGAACACAATCGTCACTTCCTGATTAAACGGGCGTCAAATATAAACATTAAAAACAGAATTTACTGCGGTAGAAAAGCTGCATCAATCTTTTTTTTTTTTTTACTTAATAAATGTACTTGCGCCTCAGAAGACAATGCTGACACACAATGAACGTGTGGGGGCGTTTGAAGCCATGAGACTCGAAGATCAGAGGATCTTAACACCCTCTGGAGATCATTAATAATATAATAACATTAACACTGAAATGGTTAGGGCATTTTACAATGACCAAAACAACATTTCAGATGTGTTACAGTGTGCTCAGCCTGCTGGTTTATCCATTCACACACATTTTCATCATCATATGATCTCTTATAACAAACATTTATTTTTTAATGCACATACTGTAATTTGTTCAGTAAAAGTGTTTCCATCGTAGTTTGGGCGCATTTTTTCTATTGAATAAAATTTTATCCTTCTCAGTTATGTGCTTGTTTTATGCGTATTTTCAAAAGATATGTGATTCATGATGTTTCCATCAATCGTTTTTATGCACATCTCCAAAATGAGCATTCAAATAGGTGGGTGGAAACATGTGGCTAAGGTGAGAAAAACCGCTTCGTCTTTAAAAAAGGGGAAGAGACCTACAGAAACTCAGAGTTCAGAAAATAAAACCTGCTGCTGACCAGGTTAGGTTCACAGAGTAAGTTACTATTGTAACTGACTCTGAGTTAAAGTTACCTCTGAGTTAAAGTTACCCTGCTCTCTCCAGTTTAACAAATCTGCCATTCTGAAACGAAAAACCCTGAGTTTCTCTCATTTTAGGGTTAAAATAAAGTTTTCACTTAACTTTCTTTCTGAAACGAGCCCCTGATCAAACTAATTGAGTCTTTTAGGCTTGTTGGAAACTTACAGCTGCGGATGCTAAATGCTAAGAATGAAATGTAAAAATGTAAGTTCACATACCCTGCCGTACAGGTGCAGTTCGCTGTCAGAAAGCAGTTGTTTTGCTTGTTGATGATTACCCAGGCCTTGTGTAACCTCCGTCTTCTTTCCTTGTCTTTGGCTAGGCAGGGTAACACTTTAGAATAACTATCCGTTATAAATAGTTAATAGATCATTAATAAACTGTTAGTTAATTTGTCCACATGGAATCTGTGCGCAGAATTTCCGCAGAATTTTAGCCAATCATTGATTGTTTATTTACTTTAATAAATGCGTGTAAATCTATATTTATTCAGTTTTTAAATGAATTACAGTAATATTATTGACTAATATAAAATTGTTAAATAAATTACATTTATATTACATTCAATTAAATTAAATTACATTTAATTAAATAACTAAAATGAGAGACTTTGTTTATCAAATAAAGTGGATCTGATTGGATTTGCATTTTAAACATGTAATAAAAGTTAAAAATATATTATTTTTTTTATTTCACATATCATGATTTTAGTTATGATGCTCCCAAAATTTTTCCACAGAAATCTGCAGATGTTTATCAAAATTCTCCAAAGAAATTGCAAAAATGTCCACAGATTCTGTCTGGCCCTAGTTATAAATGACTTGTTAAATAAAAGTTATTAGTTTGTTAATTATTTATAACTGTGCCTAATAGATAGCCTAATCCTTAAAACACAGTTAACAAGACATTTATAACTTGTTAACTAACACCTTGTTATCTATTGGCTATCTTTTAGGCACAGTTATAAATAATTAACAAACTATTAACTTTTTTAACAAGTCATTTATAACTCATTAACTAACAGTTTATTAACTACTTATAATGGATAGTTATTCTAAAGTGTTACCCTTAACCAATATCCATTGGGAGGGTGCTATCGCAAATGGACCTGTCAGACGCCACTCACTTTAACGTTAATTTTGCAGTATCACTGGGTGACGAGTTGTTATAATATGCTGAAAGCATTATGTAAACAATTTACATACTATATAATCAATATAACTTATATCTAAGACAACAACAAACTCCTGACTTGCTCTAGTATGGGTGTGGTTATGGCGTAGCGCCTGTTGTTGGTTTCCCAAGGGGAAATCTCTCAATGTCAACCATTTAGCAAGGAAATTAGAGTCACCAGAAAGACAGATGCCCTGATCATAATGTGAATTCAGTCTATTGTAAAGTGAATTTGATGCACAAATAAAGCGAATTTAACACGCAAATTAAACTCAAAATGTTCACGCGTCTATTTATGCCTGAATAAATATCGATATTCGTGCAGAAATAGATACGTGAACAATGTAAGGTTAATTCGCTTGTAAAATTCGCTTTATTTATTTGCATCCGTTTATCCGCGAATATCACTATTTATTCGCGCATGCCGCTTCTGATGTAAACACCCCATTAGGCTTTGATCCTAATTGTGCCATTTTGGTTACTTTCGCTTGAAATTTAAATAAGATTGTGCTTTTTTTTTTTTTTTTTTAAAGAGGGTGGAGCTACAAATGCCTTTGTGTTAGCATAGTGGCAGATTTAAAAACAAGACTAACGTCCTATGCTGTTTAGGGAGAGATTGTCACTAATGGTGATGTTTCCCTCCTCTGTTGATGCGTACTACGGGAGAGTGTCAATCAAAGTGTTTCTGCAGACTGTTTTTATCAAGCATGATTATTAAAAAATCTAATTAAGAAATGCTTACCATTAGAAGCTGGTCATATTCACAGACTTGCCACACAAGTGTGTTTAAACCTTTACAAAAGTGATTTTTGCATAATAGGTCCCTTTAATATTGTATCTTTGTGTTAGCATGTTCTCCTCTTCATAAAGCTTTGTTTCCTGTCCCCAGGCTAAAGACTTCATCCACTCAGAGCTGCTGGCGTACCTGTACTCGTCTGGAGATCAGAACAGTCTGATGGAGGAGTCTGCAGACCAGGCCCAGCGCAGAGACGAGATGCTGAGGATGTACCATGCCATCAAAGAGGCACTCAGCATCATCGGTGACATCAGCACCAGCACCATCTCCACACCTGTGCCACCACCCGTCAACGACAGCTGGATACCTGAAACCAGGTGAGGATGCCAACCACATCCTGACATGCGTGCCAAAGAATAGGATTTGTTTTACAATACCTTTCTATATGTTCATCATAGACTGAATAAAAGAGATTGGCGATATGGACTGATGGATATGGATTTTTTTTATAATGCTTTTGTTTTTTTTTAAAACATTTTTTATCGTTAAAATCAGTATAGTAGTCATAACCAGAACCAAACAAAATCTGCCAGTGTTGAGAAAGCTACTTGAAAAATGAGATAAGCTATTAGCTACTCTACTTAAAATGTAGCTTAACTACACTAAAAGCTACCCCCTGGGAAATGTAGCAAGCTAAGCTAAAAGCTACATAGCAAAAGTAGAGTAGCTACATCTAAGCTATTTTTATTACAAATTTCTATTTTTAATCGAAGCAACCTCAATGCAAGTCAATCATATCTTAGTGATCAATTAAACTGTCAATGAAACATATGAGGCAGAATTGTTTAGTTTAGTTGTTTTCTGTAAATAATATGCTGTACTAAACAAAAACAAATTATAATATATAACAGCTAAAACAAAAAATCCAATAAAACCAGCTAAAATACTATAGTCATTTATAGTAAAGGGAAATATTTTGGAAAAAGTATTATAGTGTGTGTGTGTGTGTATGTGTGTATGTATATGTGTGTGTGTGTGTGTGTGTGTATATATATATGTGTGTAGTATTTTAGTTTTTTTAAGCACAGCATCAGAAATTAAGTTATTGCATCGTAACATGTGCTTCTCGAGGGTTGGTCACAAGGAATCCTGCTTCAGAAATAACTCCTCTCCCTCAGTCATCTTTCCATCACGCAAGTTTCACCAGAGGTGGCAGTAATGCACCAAAAAGTTTGTTGTCAAACATTGTAAAACAGGAAGAAAAAGAAATTGTCATTCTCGCCATCAGATGGATTTACTTTCATCGGCTAGATACCGGCCTCAAAGCTCTGTGAATTATCGGAGCTAATAATGCTTGCAACACCTCCCTTGGTAGGCACTTGGAGGCATTCGAAACAGATGCCTGAGCCACCTCAGCTGGCTTCTCTCGATGTGGAGTAGCACAGCGACTCTACTCCGAGCTCCTCCCGGATAACAGAGCTCCTCAATCTGTCTATAAGTGTGCGCCCTGCCACCTTGTGGAGGAAAGTCATTTCGGCCTCCTGTATCCGAGATCTTGTCCTTTCGGTCATAACCTAAAACTCATGACCATAGGTGAGAGTAGGAAGGTAGATTTACCGGGGTTAAACATTTAAAGCTTTAGATTTGTATTTATCTTCCAAGCAAATTAAACTTCACCCTTCACTGCAGTTTCTCATCAAATCTTCTGAACAATCAAATGCTCACTAGTATTTGATACACAGCCCCCCTTTAAGGCTTCTGATTGGTCAACATGACTTTATGGTTAGGAGTGTGTCCACCACTTGTTGCTTTGGCATTAGAGGTGTGAATCTACACTGGTCTCACAGTTCTGTTACGATTATCATGCCATGGATTTGGTTCAATTCAATATCTCTGTGCATCACGGTGCATTGACGCTGCTTTCTATACATAATTAGATTTTTTTCTTCACAACACAAGATTTTTTTTTATTAAAATCTATAAATATATTAATATTTATATACTAGTTGCAATACAATTTTGTCCTTTAATACAAGCAGTAAGATATAAGAAATGTACCATTACTGTACTTTTTGTATGTATAAAACAAAACTCCAACTCATGCACAGAACCATATGAGCATTTATAGCAAATAAACTAATGTAAATGTTAATGTTGAGCTGCACAATTAATCGTAAAAAGATCTCGATTCGACCCCCTAGACGATCTTAATCCAGCATTATTACGATTTTGTCAATCATATTTTCAAGTTCAGGAGAGAAGCAATGGTGGCCACACAAGTATTCACATTGTTTTACATAAGTTATTCAGCAACGTGCACACCTCCAAATAGTGTTGAAAGAGTCACATGCTGTATTTATAAGATATAATTCACCCAAAAATTTCATTTCTGTCTTCATGTAATGTATTTGTGACCACAAAATCACACGTGACATGAGCTGAACGTCAGCTGTTACCACAGAAAGGACGTCCGCACACATCTGAATGAAGTCTTCTTTAGTGAACAGAACCTGCACAGGCTGTGCATAACAGCTAATAAAGTTGTAAATAACATTCAGTTTGTGGCACAGAGTGATCGTTTGGGAGCCGCGCGGGAAGTGAACCGCTCTTAGCCGTGAAAATGAAATCGAAAGGCTACACACTGTTGCCAGATGTAGCTGACTGATTCCAGCCCAAAAAACTATTCAAAACCTGCCGAAATGCAAAAATACCCACCCAGTCTTCTGTATTCACGAAAATCACATCAGTGACAGATTTTAAGCAGAAAATTATAGCTGTAAGCATATGTCTTAAAAACAATCATTTAACATCAGAATTATCATCAGCATAAATGACCAGGACAAATCTAAAGTCTGTTCAAGTCCACCATTCCAAGTCTACAAAATTTGGAATTTTAACCAACAGTAAAACTACACAAAGCCTGTTGCTGTTTTAAAACATGTTTGAGAATAACAATAATAATAGTCCACTCATGTTAATTTTTATTTTACATCTACAGAACCGTGAGAAAATCGTGATCTTTATTTTAGGCAAAAAAAAAAATAATAATAATAATTCGCGATTCTCATTTTAGCCAGAATCGTGCAGCTCAAGTAAATGGTATCCTGCTTGCTTTTTGAGCACTGTCAAAGGAGGTCTTACACCCTTTCATTATCTTCACTTGCTCAACAATAAGGGCTGCGATCGGCTTTAGAAATGAAAGCACTGTTTACCAATGAATGACGTGGAAAGAACAGCCTTGGTTACAGTCTATATGCGTATAATACGTGGTTATCACAGGTAACCTATAATAGACACAGTGGAGAAAACTCACACTTCTGGCACGCTCGTGTCTGTATCCACAAGTATCACTTTAACAGTCAAGAGTAGAGTTACCTCACAAACAGGAGGGAGGGAGGGAGGGAGGGAGGGGGGGAGAGAGAGAGAGAGAGAGAGAGTATATGAAATAGTGGCTCGTGCTGTGCCTCCTTCAGTGTCAATAAAAGACAGTCCAGCAAACTCACAAGCAGTAGAACTGTGCACAATTATCCACCTTTAAAGTAGTAGAAGCATTTTATTTACTCCCCCTCGCCTCCTTTACCATAGTATTCTACTGCGACATCGCGCATAGGAGATAAATGACATCAGTACGTAAAAACCGGTTATGATTATTACTGAACTGATATCGAATCGTCCCCGTCTGCATCACCCTGCACCGAAGAAACAATTAATTTTGACACCCCTATTTGGCATGCTGTTGACATCACCTTATAAAGCATTTTTATTTCATGTCAATGAAGATTTTCTTCTTAACTGTGCACGTGGACAAGATATTTTACAGCTTACAAAAAAATACCCATGTACATGTGGACATAGCCTCATTTTGCTTTCTGTTCTCCTTTATCTAAGCACTCCCAAATGCCAAAGACTACATATGTGGGCTTTGAGACAGTTCTTTCAAGTGCAGTGTACTTCATAAATATCTTAATACTACTTTTTTTTTTTGTAGTCCCACCCCTCAGCGCAGACCGCCTACATCTGCACCGCCCCCCAACAGGCCTCCAGCAGTGAGAGGTCCAACCCCAGGCCCTCCTCCTCTTAACCCCACCCCCTCATTTGCAGCCCCACCCATCCCCTCTCGGCCAGGTCAGCCCATGAATGCCTTTGGCAACAGCAGCCAGGATCCTTTCAGCGCACCTCCACAGATCCCTTCTCGCCCCGCACGCATCCCACCAGGCGTCCCCAGGTAAGACATTTTAGTATTTTGTCAACTGTAATCCCACAGTGCGTATGTGTGTGTGTAAGAACAAACATCTTAGGTATGAAGCTCAGAAGAATGAAAGCACAAAGTGTTTGAATAACAAAAAAAGTGTTCTTCTAGCTTCATATAATTACAGTTGAACCACTGATGTCACATGGGATGTTTTTTAGTTGTTTTGTATGAACTACTTCTTTAAACTACAGTTGTAAAGTCAAAAATAAAGACCAGGGGCCTCATGTACGAAGACTTGCGTGGAAATCTTACTAAAACATTGCGTACGCACGAAGCTGTAAATGTGCGTACGCAGAAAAAAATTCAGATGTATGAAACACTGCGTACGCCGAATCTCACGCATATTCTTTTGTACATCCGAATGAACGTGAAACTGAGCGCAACATGCACGAGCACAAAACCCCTCCCTGCCTCCTCCCCCGTATGAATATGCTAATGACTATGCTAATGGCAAAACCCAACGAAAAAGCAACGGCAAAATCAAGCAAAAAGAGAAACTTTGAACAGAATGTGAAATGGAGGTGCTGCTTTCGGAGGTAGACCGGAGAAAAGCGGTGTTATTTGCAAGTTTGTTCTCCGGAATTAACAACAAAAGAAAAAAATAGAGTGGGAATTTAGCTGATGCGGTTAACACAGTTGGGTCTGAACATCGCACTGAGTGCATTTAAAAAAGAAATAGTGTGGTTTATAACTGAAAAATGTTGCAATACCCTAAGCGGTCTCAGTGGCGCACCTCATAAGAAGCATGAGATCATGTACAGTCAAATTCGAGCGTAAACTCGGCTCGAATCCAGCGTCTGATAAATTCTTTCTTATTTTTTCCCCCGCTACATATCAGATTTTGCCCACTATTTATCAAAAGAAAGACAAGTAGGAATCATCAATAAGTTTGTGCATCATATTTTATTTGCACATTTATTGAATGGAAATGTTTCTGATTCACGCATGCAAATTCATCTTCAGATAGTGTCTTTATAGCAATGTGTGTGCGGTAGATTGCTCAGATTACATTGCGACTGCTGCAATTTGCGCTTTAATGTTTAGCTGGTCAACTGTATGGTATGGAAATCTTACATACCTACTATATGAACCCGTCTCATACAGCTGCCATTGCAAGGATCAGACACTTTGTAGAGAAGAATTTAACACAACTGCCTCTAGGAGTCGCCAAAGGAAATAAAACAGACACGCACAAAAAATGTGCGTACGCCTGCCAGAAAGCTGCCGTGAACCTGCGCACATTCCCACGTTCAGTTCATTGTTAGTAAATCCAAACGTGAGCGATTCTGAGCGTGAAACCTGGCGTACGCAAAGTTTTTGTGCGTACGCAGCGTTGATACATGAGGCCCCAGGAGACTCTTGTTTCTTCAAGCAGGATTCTTTATTGAGAACTTGCCTTATGCCCCATTCACACGGGGCGTCAGCTTTAATGCTTTCCCATTCACTTTGAGTGGGTGACGTCAGGCATTGCTGAACTGCATTGTGGATCTGTCAATGCAGCTTCACTGGCGTTGCTCGCTCCAGAAGAGACTTGCTCAACTTTTCAAGCGCCGACAGAAGCGTCAGCTTATCAAATTGCTGTTTGCAAATACACCAGCTCAGACAGTAGCCGATTTCTGACTAATTTCATTGGCTGACCCTGCTATGATGATTGTGTCAGCCCCAACTTCAGACACGCCCTTCTGTCAAGCATTGATGCTAAGGCCCCATGTGAATGGGGCATTACGAGTAGTCTGCAAGACGTCCTAGAGAAGTCTGACTAGGGCAGTTTTGCCCTCTACAGTATGTGTATTTTAGGCGGCAGTGCTTATAGGTGGAGACCAACCCTGATCTAATCAACATATAACTAATCAAATTTATAGGTGCTAATCCAATTAGCTTGGCAGTATTGACCTAATCTTTCATGTAGAACAAAGGCACAGTTGTTGAGACCTGCCCTTAGCTTTCAAATTCTTTTGTGATCTGCCAATGGTCATAAGAACAAAATGTTAATGATTCTTAAACCTGACCTACAAGACTCGTTCTTTAGAGTGTCATGATGTAAAACACAATTATTGTGTACAAAATTGCCTACTACTCGAGTAGGTACTACTTATGAATTCTCGTACTTTTTGCTTTTTAAAATACCATAAGTTCAAACATACTACACGGCTTGCATATTGAGTTTAATGTACTATAACTTATGGAAATATGTGATTTTAGATGCAGCCAATTTATATCCATTTTTAACAAACAAAGTAAAACAAAACAAAGTAACTGGAATTACGTTTTAATAAAAGAAACTGGGATATTGTTGGAAATTAAAAAGTAATCCATTACTGTACTAGTTACTTGAAAAAAGTCATCTGATTACATCGTGTTACTTGTAGTGCAATAAGGTTGATTTATACTTCTCTGTTGAGTAATTGGCGTCACCCATTTTTACATAGTCTGCACTGAAACACTAGATGGCAAAACGTTTTTATGTTCCTCTGTCAAGTGTTTTGGTTTTTCTGAAAGCTACAAGTAGCTAAAACTGGCTCATTCAGAGCCAGGAACCGGCGGACGTGCAACAACTTTAATCAGAAGGTAAACGCAAAACAAGTTTCCATCTGAAGCTCGTTCATGAGACTCGACAGTTAACACCCGCTCTATTGGGTTTGCGACCCACACTGATCATCGCTACTAAGCTGACCAATCACAGAGCTTGCACTTTGCGACACTAAGTGTCATCGCAAGTGTCATTGCAACATGTAGTTAATTTTTTTTTTTTTGAGAGGTCAGCATCAGCCACAAGGAGGGCTATGCGGCCATGTCGGACCATACGCATGCACTTGGCACAGATGTATAAATCAGCCTTTACCCCCAACACGGGTCTTTCCTCAAATCTTCACATCTCATGTCATTTCATTATAATCTTGTTTCTTCTCATCTGTTACAATGTAATCTAGCAGTTTACCTCATCTTATCTAATCTAACCCTTTACCCCTTCTCCTCTATGCTTTTCATGTGGTTGTGGGTATGTCTCACTTTTTTTTTTCTCACTCTTTTTCTCCTCCTGCAGCAGAAGACCCCCTGGCGCACCCAACCGGCCCACCATTATCCGCCCCGCTGAGCCCTCCCTGCTAGACTAGACCCGAGCGCTGGCCACCATAGTGTGCTGGGCTGACAGAAACACAAACAGAGAAAGGAATGGCTGGAGAACTGCACTGAAACATGTGCACGTGTGTCCACACAATACAGCCTGACCCATAGACATCCAAAATAAGTGTCCTCTGACCAGCGCTGCTAATCGCATCTTAAATCCCAGAGCTCAAAAATTAAGCACATAAATATTCAAATACATTTGTTATTATTATTATTATTGCTGTTGTTTGTTTTGTTCAACTATAGTGTGAACTAAAGGGTGTAGTGGCCTCCAACTTTCAGTTATTTTCATTACTCACATTAATCAGGTGACCACCAGGGGGTGTCCTACTCAGCTCGTGTAGACGAACCAACGGTAGACTTGACTAATGGGTTAAGATGTAAACAAGCACTGTGCAAGCTAGTTCAACTGGCCTGTCTTCCTGTTCTTGGGTGGTTGAAGACTCTTTCTTGTTATAGACACACTTCTTCATATGTGGGTTTTGGTTTTCATCCTTTATTTTTTCCTGACTCTCTAACTCGATATGCTGAAGAAAAACAAAACAACTGTTATGTTATGATGGGATTGATTTGATCTGTTTTCCATGTTTTCACATTTGGCGGTTACTATTATTATTACGTTCATTGATATTTTTGGTTTGTTTTAACCAATCAGATGAATACAGAAACATTCAGTTGCTTCTGAAATGTGCTATATTTGGTGTTGGCAACTGACATCCTCTTTCTGTTGTGCTGCGAACTTCAAAAGCACTTCTATAGTATGGGAATTTCTTTGATAGCTAGCCCAAGGAGGCGCAACTTGTATGGAAATGACCTGTTTATACAAATAATGGTTTTGTGTATATGATATAATCCTGAAAAAGCACGGTAACCGATACTGCCGGCGCTCTGTAAAATAGAGTCTCAGGTAACATCCGACTCCAAATCTGGTAACACCGTTTACGCTAAAGCTTAGCATTCTGATCGTTGTAACTTAAATTAATCTGAAGGCTTTTATTTCGCAATCAGGGATGTTGAAATGGTTTTTTGAGAGGGAAAAAAACATCAGGGCGCCACAGGAAGTGGCAATGCGTTTATACATGGTACATGCAGGTGAATTAGTGGTCGTGGGGGCATTTGCTACGTTTATGGATCCAATCCGTTTTCGCCTACACAAACACGGGGAACTTTCTGACAGCAAAAACTGGGAACTTTTAACATAGAGATCATAGATGTACTAATAGAGTGTATTATTTATAACCTGGGCATTTGTCTTTGTTTGCATTTTTCACAAACTCTGCTTCGGGAGTAGATGACAGATTTGGGCCCCTAACAATGTTTGAATGGAATTTCGAGTGAAATCCTGGTTTTGATTGCATAATTGTTGATGTTTTATTGAGGGAAATGGACCGTGACGAATTTAGTTTTTTCATTTGAGGATACCAATGTGGTTTTGATCAATATGTGTGAGGAACTTTGATTTTAGCCTGGTGCATTTTTTTTTTTTTTTGTAAATAATCAAAGACTTGGAGTCGGACGCGGAGTAAAATGTTTCTGAATGCTTTTAAATCACTCCTGTGTTATGGCTCCAGTGATGACGACTGCTGCTTTTTCTTCACAATACAGTGCAGTCAAAGTTTGAAGAAAATAAAATTTATACTCTTTTTCAAATGACCTGTTCAAAACTGGACGAAGCCCAAAATCACTGCAGCCATAACTTTCCTGTGGTCTATAAGGTTATGGTGAGCCTTCTCTGCCTCTAATAACTGTCCTTTTGTAAGTTGTGAGGGACAGAGGACATGTTCAGCGTTCTTTTTTTAAGCTTTTTGGAATAACAAATCATTGTCAAGTGCCTGTGTAGCAAATTAAAATGGACCTGGAGCAAAACTGCACAATGAGAATTGAAAGTGCGATAATAAAAGGTGTTGTGTATAATAAAGATCTGGCGCTCTGGTGGTCGGTGTTTCCTTGCCTCTTCTCCCTCATTTAGCGTGATTTGTGTCTCCCAGCATGCATCTCTTCCACTTTGTGTTCTCTTAGAAACAAGTCAAAGGTGTAAGGGTGTAATGTAGTGATGCTCTATTGGTGTAGGACAGAGTTTGCAATCCAGTTGGTGCCAAACAGAGAGTCATGCTTTACATTAAAGTCACCATGAAACGGAAGTGAGGATTTTGCTTTTTTTCTGCTATATGGATATACACTAACCAGCCACTTTGTTAGGTACACCTTACTAGTACAAGGTCAACCCCATTTTGCCTTCAGAACTGCCTTAATCCTTTGAGGAATATTTCCAGTACACTGTTGAATCTATGCCACAGAGATTTTGGTCCCTATTGACATGACAGCATCACACACTTGCTGCAGCTTTGTCGGATACACATCTATGATGTGAATCACCAGTTCCACCACATCCTAAAGGTGCTTTATTGGATTGATTTCTGATGACATTGGAGGCCATTTGAGTACAGAGAACTCATGTTCAAGAAACCAGTCTGAGATTATTTGTGTTTTATGACAGGGTGTGTTATGCTCCTTGATGCAGCCATCAGAAGATGAGTACACTGTGGTCATAAAGGGATGGACAAAATACTCAGGAAGGCTGTGGCATTGACAGGAGGCTTAGTTAATACTAATGGTACCAAAGTGTGCCAAGAAAATATGCCCCACACCATTACACCAGCACCACCAGCACCACCAGCCTGAACAACGTTGATACAAGGCAGGATGGATTCATGCTTTCAAGGTGTTGATGCCAAATTCTGACCCTACCATCCAAATGTTGCAGCAGAAATCTACACTCATCAGACCAGGGAAAGTTTATCCAATCTTCTATTGTCCAATATTGGTGAGCCTGTGCCAATTGTAGCTTCAGTTTCCTGTTCTTAGCTGACAGGAGTGGCACCTGGTTTGGTCTTCTGCTACTGTAGCCCATCTGCCTCAAGGTTGGATGTGTTGTGCATTCAGAGATGCTCTTCTGCATACCTCAATTGTAACGAGTGGTTATTTGAGTTACTGTTGCCTTTTTATGGGCTCGAACAAGTCTGGCCACTCTCCTCTAACCTCTGTCATCAACAAGTCATTTGTGCCCACAGAACTGTCACTAACTGGACATTTTCTTGTTTTTCTGACCATTCTCTGTTCACCCTAAAGATAGATGTGCATGAAAATCCTAGTAGATCAATAGTTTCTGAAATACTCCAACCAGCCTGTCTGACACCAACCATGCCATGTTCAAAGTCACTTAAATCATCTTTCTTCCCTATTGTGATGGTCGGTTAGATCGTATTAACCAACAGCTAGCTCTCTGCAACTCTCACATGGTCACCTACTGAAGCTAAGCAGGGCTGCGTCAGGTCAGTACCTGGAAGGGTGACCACATGGGAAAGCTAGGTTGCTGACGGAAGTGGTGTTAGTAAGGCCAGCAGGGGGCACTCAACCTGCGGTGTGTGTAAGTCCTAATGTCCCAATATATTGATGGGGACTCTATACAGCTCAGTAAGTGCTGTCTTTCGGATGAGACATTAAACCAAGGTCCTGACTCTCTGTGGTCATTAAAAATAGGGGTTTAACCCTAGCATCCTGGCCAAATCTGCCCACTGGCCTTTGTCTATTATGGCCTCCAAACAATCCCCGTATCATAACTGGCTTCATTACTCTGTCTCCTCTCCACCAATCAGCTGGTGTGTGGTCTGGCGCAATATGGCTGCTGTTGCGTCATCCAGATGGATGCTGCACACTGGTGGTGGATGAGGAGATTCCCCCTTATGTGTTAAAGACACTTAAAGAATTATTATTATTACGTCTAAATGCATAGAGTTGCTGCCATGTGATTGTCTGATTAGAAATTTGCTTTAACAAGCAATAAAATGGCTGGTGAGTGTACATCTACTTGAAATGGTCCTGAAATAAAGAAAAAGTAGGGCAGTGCATGATTTTGTTATTTGGGAACCAATTGGATTGTTGAAAGTTGGGTGTTGCTAACAAAACCAAGGAAGATTGATGAATTCAAAGCACAAACAACACCTACTTATATTCCTCCCTCTAAAGGAATTTCATGTGACCAGGATGTAAAGAAAGTTGTGTTGAGGGGGAGGTAAGTTTTGTGGTATTAAAGTTAATGAAGGGAAATAAACTTTTCACAAAATAGTGAAGTGCACAGATACATCGTTTATATCTACAATTACTGTATAAATGCAAAAATAAGGAGAGTAAATGTTGATTTCATGGTGACTTTTAGGGCTTTAAAATAGCTTGTAATGTCTAGTTAGTTGAAATGCATCAGATGCTCTTACAGATACAGAGTGTAACATGCATTTCCCCAGGTATATTCTCTATCTATAAATGTTGTAAAGTCAAGAAGATATATGTTAATATGTCAGGAATGTATAAGGCTTCTTTATATTTAAGTTTTTAGACCCATCTCATGAGGAGCCTCTAACAATTTTACACAGTATACATCATTAGAAAAGTGAAGAACTGGAAAGCATTTATACATGGTGCATGCATCAGACTTCATGTGGAAACTTGGCTATTTGATGCAATCTCAAAAGAGTGACTATTTTCGTACAAATTGATCCTTTTTATTTTGTACAAGAACGTAAACTAAAAAAACAAGGCACACCTCCAATCTTCACGCTTATGGGGATGAGGAAATCATGCTAAAATCTTCAAAAAGGATTGTACAAATTATTACAAGTTAGCCACTAAATTGAAAAGATACAAATTGTCAGAATTGTGTTGTATCGTAAATTATGTCGGACACTGCAGTGCGCAAAATTTGACATCATGTTCTGTGACTCCTCTTTATTATTAATATTTTTTAAAATAAATTCAACATGTAACAATTACTAATAATACCAAAATATAGGTAACACTAGCTATGTTTCTATCTAAAATTGTGAATTAACTTCATGCACAAAACTAGATTATCACATAAAATATTTGATACTAAAGCAGGGTTTCCATCCAAAGCGAACAAAATGATCACTTCCTGATTAACAGGCGCCAAATATTTACAGTAAAAACGGAATTCGCTGCGATGAAAAAGCTGCGTGAATCTTTTCTTTATTTAATAAATGACTTGCGCCTTAGAACACAGTCCTGACACGCAGTGAACTGGCGGTAGCGTTCGAAGGTGTGAGACGCGGATCACAGATGCTCTTGATTCTGTAGGTCATTAATAAATATAACAACACTAATACTGAAACATGGTATGGTTATGAAGTTTTAGAATGACTAAAACAACATTTCAGATGTTTTACAATGTGCTCAGCCTGCTGGTTTGTCCATTTACACACATTTTCATCATCACATGATCTCTTATAACAAAATAATGTGACCTTTGTTCTGTAAAAGTTTTTCCATCATAGTTTTTGCGCATATTTTTTCGCATCAAATAAAAAGTTTATCCTTAGTTATGCACAGATTTTTTATGCGCATTTTCAACATTTTTGCGCATCTTGGCATTTCCATCAACCAATATTCAAAATGCACATTAAAATATGTGGATAAAAATATAGCTATACTTTAAGATAGTCTATTAGTTATGTATATACTAATACAAACAAACAAACGAACAATACATTTATTACGCTATCCATTTTTTTACGGAAAAAAGTTGCACATTGTTTGTTCGTGTTAACGTGTTAACTAAGTATGTTATTTAATGTTAGCAAACACAACTTTAGATTTTAATTATACGTTAGTAAAAGTTAAACTATGATTAATCAATACAAGATAATCATACTTAAATCATGTTATTACATTACTTAATTAGCATTAACTAATAGACAATTATTTTACAATGTTACCATAATATATTATTTACTCCATTTCACTGCAACAATCGATTTGTGTGGAACCCTGCATTTAAGTTAACTTAACATATAAAGTATCAAATGAATAACTAATAGTACATAAAAATATGTGGAATACATATTCAAAACTGAATTGTGGATGTCTAAATGACAGATCCCATAGAAATCAATGAAAAAAATTTTGATTCATTAATAATAACAACAGAGTAGTTATTAGTCACTATTAAAATAAGTATTAGTATCTAATAAATAAGAACTAGTATCTATTTAATAAGTACTAGAACTGTATCTAATACATAAGTAGTATCTATTTAATAAGTAGCCTACTAGTATCTAATGAAAAGAACTAGTGTAATGAGTAAGCACTAGTATCTAAAAATAGGCACTAATAAATAAGCACTAGTACTTAATAGAAAAAAAAAATAGTAGTAGGCCTATCTAAAAAAAATAAATAAATAACATTAATATGAAAACAGATACTTGTATGGATTATAGATTAAATGTCAAAACGGCTTGCCATAGATGGGTAATCGAGTAGTGAATTAGCAAGGGGCTGCATAATTCAGACCTCCACTTACACATACCCACTAGAAAGTATTTATTTTCAGCATATACACTAATTCTAGGATATCGGTTTCAATGATTCGAGAGTATGAGTCACATTAATAGCGTCAGGATTGAGAAGCACTATTTTGTTCTAGTGTGTTTTTAAGTTCCCTTAGTTGATGTCATCTTTGCATCCGTTATTAGTGTGTTCAATACGCGGTTAAATATGTAGTCTCTGTTTCATCTGTAACAATGTTTCACAGGCTTTGAGGAAATGATGACACGTTGGTAATGAAAACCTCAACTTTGCACATTAGAGCCAGCCAGATTACTGTAAACAGGCACGTTTAACAGTGTGATGGATGTCAATGTAATTCTTGTTGCTGATGTGTGGTTTCGGTTGCGGTTGTTGAACAGACGTCCACCTCCCCGACGGCCAGAGAACCAGTGGTGAAGCAGATTCAGATCTCCGGAAGCAGTGCTGGGTAAGTTACTTCAAAACAGTCATGTTTTACTAATTAACCCCTTAACTGTTCCTCCAGGGAAAAGGAAATAATTTCATTGTTTAACTCCTAATGTTGCTAATTAACTGTATTTTGTTACATTAAATGTATTTTTTTCAACACATCCCATTATTTAAAAAATATCAACCTCTACTAAATGATTGACATGTCGGTTTAGTATAAACTATGAGAAATCTTAAAATATGAAGTGTAGGACTAATTTTTTTTAAAGGGCACCTAGGTTACCCCTTTTTTCAGATTTAATATAAGTCTGTTGCGTCTCTAGAATGTGTATATAAAGTTTCAGCTCAAAACACCCACCAGATTTTTCATTATACCATTGAAAAGATGCTGTTTTATACACATTTCCAGTAGGGGTGGTTTTGTCGTACTACGCCTTTAAGCCTAGTTCAGGATACAGGCTAACCTCTACTGATGTGTGGATATCTATTATGTTATTGTACAAAATAAACCTGATTTAACTTCCACAAACCGGGATTGAAGCGTCTTCTTTTATAATTGTTCTGACACGCGGCTGGGCTGATGAAGTAAAGCTAAAGTAAATCGCTGTAATTTACTACACACGTGCTGTAATGCGCGCAGCTGTCAATTAATTCGGTGGGCGGGGGGACTGCACTCCTACCTTAAGTTGCGGTCGGTCTGAAAACCGCTCTAATTGGTCCACCGTTTTTATGTTGTTAAATTGAAAAAACAAGAACTGGGTGTGTTTATATTACCCCAATATGATGGTCTATACACTATATATACACATATGTTTGTCCAAATAGCTTGAAAAGTAGAATTTTCACCATAGGTGCCCTTAAAAAAGTAATCAAAGTAAAAAAACGTAATAATACTAGGTAATCTTTATTTTTTAAAGTATGCCATAAAATATTTCAGATTCTCTTTTACTATATCTTTTAACAATAAAACCAAAATCAAGTTTAGTAGTGCAACAGGATTATGTTTGACTTTTAATATATTTATAAACCAACTATGTTGTGTAGTGTAAACCATTATTAAAAGCAGTCAGTATTTGAAACAGTCTAAATATGGTCAACCATTTGGTAGAGCAGGCAGTTAAAGGGTTAAAATTATATTTAAATAACTTTTCTGATCGCTTAGAATGAAATGTAATTTATTTACTTGACTAAATAGTACCTGTAAGTATTAACACAATATATAAATTAAACTTAATCTGTATAAAAATGATCAAAACACATTTTATGTATAATGACATTCATGACTGAAACTATCAAACTCGTTTCTTAAGCAAATGCTTAAGCCAAAAAATGCTGGCCAAATATAACTTGCATTATTTGACAAATTGTACTATTATAAGCCATATCTGAATACTTGCAATCTCTGACCCCCCGACTTTCTACCATATATCATCAGACTTTTTTCATTATTCATTTTTCTTCTTTCAATAATCTTGATAAATGAAACCTTTTTTTTTGTTGTTGACTTAACTGAATATGTATACAAAAAAATACAATTTCTCAGCTCTGAATTTATTTACACAGAACTGTTGAATTTATGTAATGTATTAAAATGAAGTATATTAAATAATAACTCCTTTACTTTTTTCAGCAGATAAGTAATTTAATTACAGTAACTAGTTACTTTGTAATTAATTACACCAAACACTGTCTGGAAGAGACCCTGCAGATGCCTGCAACGACACAACAACTGCTGAGAAGCTGCTGATTCAATGTGTATTTAAAAAAATGGTTTCCAAAATATATGATTTTTCCAGGGATTACAGTCTTTAGTGAGCTTTACTCTTGCTGATTTGGAAAAAGTGCTACGTTTTATCTGCTTTTTTTCTTTTTTATCTTGCATCCAGAAGTAATTTATGGAATTTTTAAATTCTGTTTTCTATTTCTGTGGCATTAAAAGTCTTTAAGTAACCATCTCATAACTTAGAAGCATTACAAACTCTAATATGAAAAAAGGCTGTCTAATGAACACTACTCCATCTTTTCAGATCTACTATTATTCGTTCAATGCAACAATTGCCTACAGCGTTTGATTAATCATTGAAAACAATATAACCTACATTTTCACACAAATAAGACAATGAGAGGGCATATTACTTTTTTATAGTGTTTGTGGAACAAAAGCAGAGGTTGCAAAACCGCAGTGATGCCATATTTTTTTTTCCAACCTTTTAATTAAGATTATCTTTAGTTAAAATACATTTTCTTCATAGATTGAAGAACATTTTAATAATCTAAAGAATTCCCACACCCACCCTGCCCTTCAAACCCAGGTGAGAGAAGCGGTGCAAGAACAGAGCCCTGAGGCACCCCAGTAGCAAGATGGTGTGGCTGGTATACCTCACCTGAATGACTTGTGTAAATTAACCATTAACATCTAAAGAACTTTAACATTCCACAAATGATTATTTATATTATTTAAAGTAGGAAAACTTTAACAGCTGTTTAGTTTAATATACTTTAGGGCAGTGCTTCTCAAACACATTCCTGGAGGACCAGCAGCTCTGCACATTGCCTCCTTAACCAAACACACATGATTCAGATCATCAGCTAGTTAGAAGAGACTGAAATAACTGTAATGGGTGCAACAGACAAAGGAGACATTCAAAACATGCAAGGTTGGTGGTCCTTCAGGAATGTGGTTGAGAAACACTGCGTTATGGAACCTACTTTTTAAAAAATGTTTTTTTTTTTTTTTTTTACAGCATCTCTGCAAAGCTCTATTTTATAACATTTTCACACAATTAAAAAGGTAAAAAAAAACTTTTTTTTTTCTTTAAATGTCACATCCTATGTTTATTGTAGCAAACATCTTTTTTTGCTTGTGTTTTTGCTTGTATTTCAAATAATGGCTAATTACCATAATAGTGCCACAACTTACAGTTATGCAACCTGGCTTATGTTAGCCCTAGGTAAAAAGTGGCACTAACCTCATTTCTAAATGAAACAAGTGTGAAATGTTCCTTTACACCAGTGGTTCACAATTCCAGTCCTTTGGCCACCTCGCCCTGCACATAGACCCTTTTCACATTTCCGGGTTTTTAAGCAGCAGAAGTCGTCATAGTTGAGTAAACTTGGAGAATGGGAGAAAACAACAATATATATATATATATATATATATATATATATATATATATATATATATATATATATATATATATATATATATATATATTTACAATCCTGTTTGTTAAATTGATAAAAGAAGAACGCCACAATGGTATTATCAAGACTAAGAAAAAGGAAAAAGATTGTGTGAGACTGATGCCGGCAACCAGGGGAGAGAACAACATGATAAATTTACTAAATTTACATAAATTTACTCTCAGTCCCATAGATGCTGCATTAGAAACACTTTACATAAGCAGTGATTTTTTTTTTCTTTTTTTTTTTTTACAAGAGAGGTTTACCATTTCTAAAGGTTGAAATTAAACTGAAGTTTTCTCGCTGATGTCAGAAGTCTAAAGTATTCATTTATTAGCCTGCAACATGTACTAATTACTGGTAGCAAGAAATAAATTTGTTCCAATGGTATACTAGCTGACAAAAGTATTTCTGTTTATCCCAGTTGTAAGAGCAACAAATAATAACTTGACTTCTAGTTGATCATTTGGAAAAGTGGCAGAAGGTAGATTTTTCCGATTAATAATCTATTGAACTGCATCACAAAAACTGCAGAACACCTAGTGGAACCCACATGGACTCAAGATTCTGATAGAAATCAGTCAAGTTTGGTGTGGAAAAAATCATGGTTTGGGGTTGCATCAGTATGGGGGCATGCGAAAGATCTACAGAGTGGATGACAACATCAACAGCCTGAGGTATCAGGACATTTGTGCTGCCCATTACATAACAAATTCTTTAGCAGGATAGCGCACCTCCTCATTCTTCAGCCTCCACATCAAAGTTCCTGAAAGCAAAAAAGGTTGAAGTGCTCCTGGATTGGCCAGCCCAGTCACCAGATATAAACATTATTGAGCATGTCTGGGGTAGGATAAAAAAAAAAGGAGGCATAGAAGGGGAATCCAAATGATCGCTATGAACTCTGGGAGTCCTACAAGATTTTTTTTTTTGCTCCAGATGATTAGTTATTTGATGATGAATAGTAGAAAGTTATTAGTAGAAAGTTATTTTGCAGTAGAAGGTATCATAGCAGAGATAAGTGACAAGTGACAAGACTTTAGTCTAAGTAAAGTCAGACCTTACTGTCCTAATTAAACAATTAAATCAATTCATGATCAAAATTTATTGCAATAAAATAAGCATAATTCAGAGGCCTTTGCCTTTCATATAAGCCACTTATGATACCAAATGATCAACTACAAGTCAAGTTATTATTTGTTGTTCCAAAAACTTAAAATAACCTAACTGTTGTCAGGTAATGTACATTCAATTTTGAAAGCATGAAATCAAATTCCAGATTTAATCACAAGACTCCAGCATCTGACCTTTAAAAAAAAACACAAATCATTTCCAGCACTCATTTCAGTAGTCACTTGTTTGACGTCAAAATGCCACACACAATGCAATGACAGCAGATGAAGATGTGTGGCCTGATATTATCCTTTTAATCTTTTAATGCCTCGATTCTGGTGAGCAACTGGCTTTGTTGTTTAACAGCCTTTGTCAGATTTAATTTCCTGATTTGCAAAGAATGACCTTAGTGCCAAATATGTGTATGCTTCATAAATGGAGCACCATGACGTTTATGTGAATCTCTAGGGACACTTATTTATAGGTAGTTTTTACAATGATGAAGATGGTTGTACATAAATGTGACTTGGTTAATGAGAATATTTGTATATTGTTGCAAGGTGATGTAAGAACATTAGAAATACTGGAAATGAATCAGCATTAGAGAATAATGATGGCAGTCTTGAAAGTAGTGTTATGAATCGGAGTAATAACTTAGTCTAGTCATGAATTGATGCAAAATAACAGCAACGACCCATTTTGTGTTTCAAACAAGATGCTGATGTATAATAAAGCCATTAAAAAAAAAACTATTACTTGCATTATTTCTTTTTTTATTTATACCACATAATCCTATAAGGAATCTACTAGCAAATGTTATTAAGTCACATAAATGATTTTAACTGCAGTGTTTTAAAAGTCAAATCCAAATTAGATTCACATTCAAATGTCTGTACAGTGATTCAAATAAATGTTGTGTTCACCAGTGTTTGCTGCTACATACTCTTCTTATTAAAACTAAAACAAGTTTAACTAATACTCCAAGATTTCACTGATATCTCTAAAGACCTCACAGTTTTATAGAGTGTTTAGTTAGGACCTGAGAGTGTCCAGAATCCATCCTTTTAATATTTGGCATAAGCAGTGCATTGGGTGTTACAGTGTTCAACTCTGCTATGTGCAAACTTTGTGTTTGTCGTTGAATAATCTGCGTAACGTGTAGACCTGTGTGAGGGCCACACTGATCATCACCAGCAGACTGGCGCAGGACCAGAAGGAGACGCGCCAAAGGTTATCCTCCAGCAGGTATCGGTCACGAGCCTCGAACGCCCGCAGTGTCGTCTGAAGCTGACGGCTTCGCTCCAGGCTCTTGTGCACTGCGTCCATCGAGTCCTGTGTGAGGACAGAAGAACATCAATGCAGCTATATTTATTTATTGCCACATCAGCAACTTATGGCTATTTAGTGGCAAAATGGATATACAAAAAATTAAAATTACATGATTAAAAAAAATTCGTATTACAATAAAAAAAAAGTTACTTGACAAACTAGACAAATATATAAAACATAAATAGATCAAATACACACAAAAATATATTCAAAGTTAAATATGATTTTTCAGTTCATTCATTCATTCATTCCTTCATTCATTTTCTTGTCGGCTTAGTCCCTTTATTAATCCGGGGTCGCCACAGAGGAATAAACCGCCAACTAATCCAGCAAGTTTTTACACAGTGGATGACCTTCCAGCCGCAACCCATCTCTGGGAAACATCCACACAAACATTCACACACACACACACACACACACACACACACACACACACACACACACACACACACACACACACACACACACACACACACACACACACACACGCACACACACACAACGGACAATTTAGCCTACCCAATTCATGCATGTCTACCCAATTCCGCATGTCTTTGGACTGTGGGGGAAACCGGAGCACCCGGAGGAAACCCACGCGAAGGCAGGGAGAACATGCAAACTCCACACAGAAACGCCAACTGAGCCGAGGTTCGAACCAGCGACCCAGCAACCTTCTTGCTGTGAGGCGACAGCACTACCTACTGCGCCACTGCCTCGCCCTTTTTTTCAGTTCAATTTTTGATAAATAATTTTAAATCCTTCCTTTTTAAAAATCAAAGTACTCTGCTTAAAACATTTTGTCTAATGGTATTAAAACTTCCACATTCCAACAAAATATGTTTTATGGTAAGAACAGCCTGGCAATAATTACATTAAGGCGATGCTTTGTTGTTCAGTAAATATAAATGTGTCAGCCTAGAATGTCCAATTTGACATATAGTATAGACAGTCTGATCTCAAATGCCTATAGATGCCTGGTCTCAAAATAATAGATTGCTAGATGTCTTTCATTTATTTTCTTGTTAATTTCATGTAGTTTATTAATCATGCAGTTGTCCCATTCTCTTTGCCATGTTTCATCTATGTACAAATTAATTGTGGGTATCAATTCCTCAGGAAGAATTAAACATTCTGTCACATTCAAGGAGATAAGCCTTTTTATTCAATGCAGCTTCAATAAACAATTATACATCTTTATAGTTTGGTTAAGGGTCGCTGGTTTGGCAATTCTGTGTGGAGTTTGCATGTTCTCCCCATGTTTGCGTGGGTTTCTTGCAGGTGCTCACTATAGGTGAATTGAACTAATTGGGCTGTAGTGTCTGTGAATGACGCAGTGTATGGGTGTTTCCCAGAACTGGGTTGCAGCTGAAAAGGGCATCTGCTGCATAAAAACATATGCTGGAATAGTTGGTGCTAACACTTTATTTTATAGCCCATTTGAGTATTAGTAGACTGTCTGCTTAATATCTGTTGTTACTGCTCCTTTAACAGACATTTAACTGACTATAAGAAGCTTTGCAAGTACATGTCAACTTACACTAACTCCAACTTAACAGTCTACTTACAATCTAATGAGAATTAGTTGACATGTAGATGCAATGTAACTTATATTTAACAAACAAACCATCAAAGTGTGACCTATTTGGTGGTTTATCCCACTGTGGCGACCTCTGAAATAGAGACTAAGCTAAAGGAAAATGAATAAATAAAGTGCAAACATTTAAAAAGAAATTCAACAAAAGCATGATTTTGTTATAACAATATAAACTTCCAAGGTTAAGTGGAGTATCTACATAAAACACAAAAAAAATCTACTGTAAATGTTTTGACACCAGCTTGGGTGTTGTAGATACTACAAATTTGACAATTGTTGATGTTGTTGTTTTTTTTTTATTTATTATTTATTTATTTATTTAATTATTTATTTATCTATTTTTCCTGAAGTGTGATAATGTCACAAGAGAGAACAGATGTTAAAATCAGGGGTTCTCAAACTTTCAGCCCAAAAGCCCCAAAATAATTCAAGTGACTCATGACCCCCATTATGCTCTGAGGTGGTTATAAACACAAATACTACACACAACAGTGCACACACACAACAATAAGAACTATATGAACACAGCTATTACAAAAAAATAAAATAAAGTGCAATAGCCTAATAACCATATTATTTTATAGTCATTATTCATTTGTTTAATTTGATATTAACCTCACTTTATGAGAATGGTGGGCACAAAGTTTATAGCATAACACCATTCTTGGTTTAATTTTGGAGACCGCCACTTGGAGATCATCCTATATGTTTAGTCGTGGCCTTTATTTATAATGTATGTGGTTAATGTTAAGGTATCAAAGTTTAACATTGTGCTGTAAAATAAAAAAATTAAAAATAATAATAAAAATAAATAAATATAAATATATATATATATATATATATATATATATATATATATATATATATATATATATATATATATATATATATATATACACATTAATTCATTCTCTTTTTGGCTTAGTCTCTTTATTAATCGGTGATCGCCACAGCAGAATGAACCACCAACTTATACAGCAGATGCCCTTCCAGCTACAACCCATTACTGGGAATCATCCATACACTCTCATTTACACACATACACTATGGATAATTTAGCCTACCCAATTCACCTGTACCGCATGTCTTTGGACTGTGGGGGAAACAAGAGAATCTGGAGGAAACCCACACGAACACTGGGAGAACATGCAACCTACACACAGAAATGCCAACTGACCCAGTTTGAACCAGTAGCTTTCTTGCTGTGAGACGACAGTGCTACTCACTGCACCACCGCTGTTAATAGTTATTAATAGTTTATTAACATATATGAGATTTTTTTAAAAATCACCAAGTGAACCCCCATCATTGTCTCGCAACCCCCCAGGGGGTCCCGACACACACTTTGGGAACCACAGAGTACAATGCTTATTTTAGGCTTTAACTCTTTAATTTTAGGCTTTGTTTATAGACTTTTAATTTTGACCAAATGTGTAGTTACTACTCTTTGCCTTTGTATGGCAGCATACAGTAGTGTTTATTATGATATATAAAACATTTCATATTCTGTTTCAGAGCTCTCTTGCAAAAGGAATTACATGAAGCAAGGTAAAAAAAAAAAAAAAAAAAAAAAAAAAAAGTAAATGTTATCATAATTGTTTACCCTGGAAGACAAACCCAGTCTTAATTTTACAGGAATATTTATAGAAATAGCCAACAATATATTGTGAGTCATAATGATTGATTTTTCTTATTATACTAAATTTCATTAGAATATTTAGTAAAGATTATGTAAAAGGATGACATTTTGTAAATCGTCTGCATAAATACAATAGACAACATTTGAAGAGGTTCAAAACCATCAAAGTTGTCCTAAAACTATTAAACACCCAATCTTTTCTTAGGAAAATTTTGACAACTTTTTTTGATCCAATCGTTGATTACTGTAAATCAATAGCGATACTCCAATCAAGGCTGCAGCAGATACAGAGTACTGATTCCTTGTCACGGTGACCGGCCGACATAGAGTACTGATTCTGGTGCTTTGAACTTTTTTTAATGCATAATGCACAGTTTAATTTTAAGTATGATAAGTGGAAATCTTTCCTCACCTAAGAGAATACATTAGGGATGCTGCATTGAAATGCAAACATATAAATCCAATACTTCATAATTAAAAGAAAATAGGCCTAAAAAAAATTGTTTAGAACATCATGAGATGTCTGCAGAAGTCGTTTGTCATGGAGACAAGTAGACATTGCACTGGGTCAGTCCCGCTTGACACCAAGATAGGTGATACACACACACACACACACACACACACACACACACACACACACACACACACACACACACACACACACACACACACACACTCACACACACACACACACACACACACACACACACACACACACACACACACACACACACACACACACACACACACACACACACACACACACACACACACACACACACACACACTCACACACACACACACACACACACACACACACACACACACACACACACACACAAATGAACGTTATGAAAACTAAAGTTTGTTTTACAGTTGGCGGTTCGCTTACTTTTATTTGGTACAATTGCATTCATATCAGAAGTGAACCTTACCCTAAATCACCGCTTTCAGGCAGACTTGGGTACAATTCGTGGGTGCGCATATGAGTTTAAAAGACATAGTTCACACAAGCTAAACGTACCGTACTCTGACGTAAAACAAACCCAGGTGCGAACCAAAAGTGCTAGTGTTAAAGCATCCTAATACAGGGCGTACTCACACTATGCTCTCCCAACCATGCTTACGCCCGTTTCCTGGATCGTTTGAGAAGTGTAAGTGCTCTAAATCGGGCTCAAGCACGATTCACTTGGCCGGCCCTGGGCCGGTTGGAAGAGGTGTGCCAGAGTGTGGTTCACCTGGGCTTTGGCGCAGCATGCTTGTGTGTGAGTTCAAAACGCGCCTGAGCCCAAAACTAAAGACGAGACGTGACTTTTAAGGTTCCATTTATATAGAGCTTCTTAAACTGAACAGCGCATCATCAATGACGCAAGCATGCCCAGGCCAAATGTAATGTGAGTGCGGGCCGTCAGGGAGACCGGAGGGGGGACAATTGTGCTTTGGCACCGTTTAAGGCAGCTGTACATAGTGTGAGTACACCCTTAGCATCTTTAATGATTATTGTAGGTGTGAAGTTGTGTAAATGCATATGTCACAGTAGCAGATATCATTAGTGAAAAGGATAGGCTGACATTATACAAATGTGATACATAGATATGCGCCATAATGAAACTTAAATAAAACTCATTTTAGCCATTCAGAAAAAACTAAGCAAGCTCACTTAAAAAGGAAGCTTTTCTAACTACCCTTGAGCTAAACAGAGTGTGACCCCAATATGGCATCACACTATACGCCTTTGTTTGTTGTGAATAGGCGCCCTCTAATGGCAACAGTGCCTTTAATCCTTATTAAAGAAAAAAATATATATATATTTTTTTTAATCAGGCACTTTGAGCTTTATAACTACAGACATTTTACATTCTTATAATAATAATAATAATATTAATAATAATAATAATAATAATAATAATAATAATAGTAATAATAATAATAATAAACATGCACCACTGCATGAAAGAGGATATCTGAAAAGCATGATGGGGCACTTTAAATCTCATAATCCACATGATCGATCTCCTGCATTAATAGATGTAAACAGAGGCAAATAAATGAAAAGACGTTTGACTATTGTTTACCCTGATATCCTCCAGTTTGTACTCCAGTGAGTCCTCAGGTTCAGCCAAAGCAGCCCAGTCTTCATCATCCTCATCCTCTCCTTCTGGTCCATCCATGATCACCTCCACATACACCATCTTCTCCGATATACGGCTGAAGCTGTTGTCAAAGCAGATCCGGTAGTCGCCCTCCTCAGTGGAGTCAACACTGATTTAAAACACACAGCAAGCTTACTACAATGCATTTAATGACTTTAAGAAAAACTAAAAATTAAAATGAAACTAATATAACCGTTTTGCTTCAGAGCTTCAGTGAATCAAATACATACATTTAACTGAATTACATCTAATATATTAATTCAACTTGTTCAAATGTTCAGTGTTTTGGGGGGATAATGAGTACAGCCGGCAGCTACCGTAGCTCTCAGCAATTCACATGGTCATGGTGTTAGAGATAACCGGGGTATACACTGACGCCCCATTATCTTGATGGGGACTCTATACTGCTCAGTGAGATGTTAAACCGAGGTCCTGACTCACTGTGGTCATTAAAAATCTGCCCACTGGCCTCTGTCCATCATGACCTCCCATCTAACCATCCCCATATCGTAACTGGCTTCATTACTCTCCTCTCCACCATCAGCTGGTGTGTGGTCTGGCGCATTATGGCTTCTATCGCGTCATCCATGTGCATGCTGCACACAAGTGGTGGATAAGGACACTTTTTATTGTACTATTTAACATCCATGTGCTAGCACAGGTGTCTATTAATATACATACAACTACAATTTTAATGAACTTTCAGCTTTTACATACAAACACCTATTTTACAAGAAAAGTGTCTTGTGAACACTTTTGGTGCCAGTTTCAGACTGCTGACAATGTTTTCCGACATAAACCACTAAAATGATCTGAAACAGCTTCACTTTATTATTTTATGTTCAGTCCATATAAATAAAAAAAAATTAAAAAAAAAAACTAATAATTTAACTTAATTCCTTCATGTTGTCCCAACACAAATCGATTGTGTGGAACCCAGCATTTTTTACAGTGTGGATTGCTGGACGTGGTCATGGATTCACAATTGTATAACCCAGGGGTGTCCCAAACTCGGTCCTGGAGGGCCGGTGTCCTACATATTTTAGTTCCAACCCTAATTAGACACACCTGAACCATCTAATGAAGCTTTTTCTAGGTATACTAGACTTCCAGGCAGGTGTGTTGGAGGAAGCCGGAGCTAAACTATGCAGGACACCGGCCCTCCAGGACCAAGTTTGGACACCCCTGGTATAAACCATAATAGGGGCGAATAAATGAAGAAGAAATATTTATTTTCCCCATGGTTTTATTATTACTTATTATTATTTAAGATACAGATTAGAACAATGTACATCTCACCATTTAAAGGGCTGACCCCCACACATCTTCTTTTGACATCCTTCAGTGGGTCAAGCATTAATTATGTGGGTCAAACCTCCCTTTTAAATTGTGCCCTGGTTATAAGCACACATAATTTGCTAAATAAATCAGAATTCAAAATTGCAGGATATGAACTAAGAGTTCGAAGATAAAAGTATGGTGGCCGAGAGAGCTTCACGCTCTGCAATTTAAAAAAAAAAAAGCACATGCAAGTTGGCGTAGTGGTTAGTGCGTCGCCACATGCACTCGCGGCAACTCGAGTTCGATTCCACTTCGCGTTCCTTCACCTCTCTTTGCTACCAATGCATTCATGTCAATTCTTTCTACTTTCCAATCCAAATAAAGGTGAAAACCCCCAAAGAAATAATTATAAAAAGAGAAAGCACAGTACATGTGTTGCAAATTGGTCACAACACAAACAACTGAAGAAACGCGCAGCAAATTGGTCACAACACTTGCTGACATTAACTACCTAGCATCAGTTTCTGCGAAGATGGAACTGTTTTCTGTGAAGTCAGTTTTCAGTTCACTGTCAGTCATGCATCCAGCATGCAAACTTGCAGCAGAAGACATGCAAATACAGTGGATTATGATGGTCCGAAACTCACGGGTATGCAAATGAGTAAACGTGTAAAGGTTCAGCTCTGTGGGACCTGAAACTCACGTGTGGATGCCGTCAGATTTTCTGAAGTCTGAGACCAGTCTGTACCCCCGGGGGGAGATCAGAGTGAAGCCCACGTCCAGTCCTGAGCCTGCGATCACCTGCACACATACACAGATTGCACTGTTTCACAACAATGTTTATTTCTGTGAAGTGACCTGCACATCCAACTGAACATTTAGTGTTATAAACCATAAACATGTTCTACTGTATGTGAAACTGTCAGCTATTCAAAGAATTTCAATAATTTTTGTCTCTACATTTTTATGCAAGTGACTTACAGTAGGGTGATTAAATGAGATAAACTTTTAAAGAAATAGTTCCCATAAAAAATACTCGTTAAAAAAAGATGAGCATAAAATGGAGACACTTTCAACAAACAAATTCCTGAATATGTGCATTAAACATGTCCTGTGATTTTTGTTATAAGAGATCATGTGATGATAAAAATGTGTATTTGAATTGACAAAATAGCAGCTGAGCACACTGTAAAACATCTTAAATGTTGTTTTGGTCATTCTAAAATGCCTTAATCATTTAAGTATTAGTGTCATTATATTATTAATGACCTCCAGAATCAAGAGTATCTGTGCTCCGCTTCTGATGCCTCAAACACCACTGCACATTCATTGCGATTCAGGATTGCCTTCTGAGGCGCAAGTCATTTCATAAGTTCACACTTAGCTGATGATTGATTATAAGCATGTTTGGCATGCTGTCCCAGGAGAGAGCCCTGGGCTCCCTCCCGTTTGCAGAGAGTGGAGCTCTGAGCTCAGGTAGGTCTCGAGAACTCCCCCCTTTTTTTTTTTTTTTAAAAAGCTGATGACAGAAAAATGATTGCCATGAAAAGAATTGCGATATGAGAGTTTTACTGTAGTGCTAAATTTAGATTGATCAATTAACTTGTAATGCACGTTTTTGGAATGTGGGAGGAAACCAGAGAACCCGTGGGAAACCCATGCGAGCCCGGGAAGAACATGTAAACTTGCCTGCCTGAAAACCGGCCTGTTAATGGACTAGAACCGGTGACGTTCTTGCTGTGAGGCAACAGTGTTAATCACTGGGCCACCGTGCCGTCCTATGAAGAGTAAGGTGGAGGAGTAGGGGTGGAAGGGGGAGATTCTTCAAATCAAAGATGACTGTAGTGAGAAACCCTGGCTCTATATAGTGGGTAAGGAATCGTCTGATTGGTGGATCATGCATAGTTAATGCAGAACCAGTCATGTTCAATCAATCACAAGGTCCTCTCGAAATTACTTTATAATAAACTTAAGTCATGAAATTAAGAAAATATTTATGCAGCTTCTCCTATTGCAGCAAATTCCGTCTTTACTGTTGATATTTGGCGCCAGTTAATCAAGAAGTGACGATTTTGTTTTGATTGACTCGTTGCATGGAGATGCTGCTTTATTCGCAAATCTTTTATGCATTAATCCAGGTTTGCATATAAAGTTAATTCACATTTTTAGATAGAAGCATAGCAAAGGATAAATAAAAATAAAATACATAAATACATTAAAAACAACAACAACACAAAATAATTTTGCATAAGAAATTGTTCTTGTGGTTTGAAATGATTTCGAAGATTATTTTTGAGAATAGTGTAAATTTTATAAAATGTGGTGTAACTATACAGGAAAAAAAAAACATTCTTTTATAGTTTACAGCGATCTTTTATATACATAACTTTTTCGCAAATATAAATCAAGTGCGGGCGTCATGGTGGCTCAGTGATTAGCACAGTCAGCTCACAGCAAGAAGTTAGCTGAAAATCCGAAAACTAAAATATATTAATTTGTGTTCTCAAGATGAATGAAGGTAAGACATTTGGACATGCAGGTGAGTGACATAACTTGACTGGAAATGTTAAGAACAAATGGGAATAATTGACTTTCGTCAGTTGGTGAAGTTTGTTCCTCGCCTTAAAATGTCTGACATATTAGTACAACTCAAAAACAGACGAATTTCATTTTCAGCAGTGATAAAAATGTGAAACTTGTTCAGTGGCATCATGAAAACACTGTACTACGTCCTCTTTTCCCCAAATTCAAATGACAGGCCTCCTATCAACCACCAGCTGATAAAGCAGCTCAATGGAAAAGCCTGTTTGTCATTACTGGAGATAAAATGTGACAAGCAACAACTATGCAGCACTAGAGACGTTGTGATCCTGCCGGCAGATGGACTGAGCTTTGACTGGGGTCAACTGTCCCGCAGCTGTGCCTGTTTTTAGCGTAAAGCAGGACGGCTCCACAAACACACCCCAGACACGTGGCACAGCTATAGTGAAGTTGGATGATGACTTGAGTTACTGACTTCTGTCTGTGTGTGTGTGTGTTGCTACAACTGAACGACGATTGCTAAAGTCCTGCCACTGACTTGTCAATATTATTGAACATCCCACCAGAACTGTAGAAAAAAAACACAATCATGAAACCAAATCCAAACACACAAGTCATTTATGATATGTGAACAGACAAGAGAGTCATGCAGCGATCTTTACTGAAGTCATGCTGACATGAGCTTCAAACAAATGCACTTTGACCAAAACATGTGCCAGCTGAATGCGAAAGGAAAGTCCTGCGTCTTCCTGGTCATTATACCTTCAGGGAAACCTGCAATATAATTCTTAAAAGTTAAACAATAAATGTATGCCAAAACAACCAAACTAAGAGTGGCCTCTTTTAAATACTTCAAAAATGTATATAGTAGCCTAGTGTTTTTTTTTTTTTTTTTTTTTAATAACAAATATGCAAAATGATAAACATGAAACATCAAAACAAGCACCTGCTTATCTGTTTTGTTTATGTTTCACAAACCATTTTAAGCATGTTTTTATTTGAACCTGAAGTCTAATAAAATATTTAGTTAAAGTTTGTATTGACCTGGTACTCCACTTCCATGCTGCTGTTCTTGGTGGCCGTCTGGAAGAAGCACTCGGTTGCTCCAGCAGGCAGAAGGAAGGTGAACTCGGTGTCTTTATTCTGTCCGAAAGTGAATCCCAAATCCAGACAGAGCGTCAGGAAGGATAGAAAACAAACCGCGAGACGCGTCTCGTCCATGACTTTTGCTCTTCCTAACACACTTAAGCAGCTGTATCAAACAGGCAGTGTGCACTGCAAGCGACGCGACCTCACCAGGACTCTATCATTGCCAAACTTCACCGCGAGCGCATTGTCTGGACTCCCGTGAACCTACATGACAAACAGCCGCGCGTGAAGTTTGATAGCTTCGTTAATAACTGACGCGTTGCAGTTTTCCTGCGTCGCGTAAAACGCGCAAACACTGTCGTTGATTTGTTAACTGTGTTCCGACGTCAAAGTGTTGTACGCGTTTGTTGCGTCGAGAAGCTTTCCAAAGCTACAGGAAGCTTTTCAACTCATCATGTTTTAATGTTGATTTAGCTGTTTGTAGCGCACTCTGAAACCTAAGTTTAAATATGACCCTGTACCACAAAATCATTAACAAATGCTGGAGGGTCACTTATTTTTCAAATGGAGTTTCATATACATCACCTGAAAGCTGAACAAGCTTTCAATTGATGTTTGGATGGGAAAACATAAGTGCTATATGAGAAAATCCTTAATTTGTGATTCAGAAAAAAGTTAAAATGAATTGCTTAGTAGCCTATGTTATTAAGTTTTGATATTTACAGGTAATTGAGTAAAAGTATTCAGGGACTTTTAATAACAATAAGATAAAGTGTATCCGCAGGGTCTTAAAATGCTCTTAAAAAGTCCTAAATTTGACTTAGTGTCACCTGCAGAAACCCTGTACATTCATTCATTCATTTTCTTTTTGGCTTAGTCCCTTTAATAATCTAGGGTCACCACTTCGGCATGAACCGCCAAACTTATCCAGCATGAGTTTTTATGTTTTAAGCAGGGGACGCCCTCCCAGCCGCAACCCATCACCAGGTAAAACCCTGTTCATATATATATATATATATATATATATATATATATATATATATATATATATATATATATATATATATATATATATATGAAAGAGAGAGAGAGTTGGCCACTTATATGGATACACATTAATAATTTTATTTGGAATTTCACAAAAAAAAAAAAAAAAACAATGGTGTGCTTGGTTTAACATAACTTTATTCGTTCATGAGTTATTTACAAGCCCCCTACTAATGTGGCACAAACAGGACATTAATATCACCAACAATTCCCATTTTATTAAGGTGCATCCATATAAATGGCCCACCCTGTATATATACATGCCACAACAACAATATCTTGCAGGTTAATTATTACAATGTTAAATCCCTCACAGCAAGAAGGTCGCTGTTGAACCCCAGCTAGGCCAGTTGACATGTGTTGAGTTTGCATGGTCTCCTCATGCTTATGTGGGTGCTCTGCTCCGGTTTCTCCCACAGATTTTTAAAAGGAGGCGTGGCACCTAACCCCACCCCTAAACCTAACCGTCATTGGGGGATGAGCAAGTCATTCTAAATCATACGAATTAGCCACTAAATCAAAAAGTTATGAATTGCCGTGAGATTGTGTTGGTAAAATAAAAAAAAATTAGTTGGTGATTCATTCTGCTTTGGCAACCCCCGTTAAATTGGGGACTAAGCTGACGGAAAATAAATACCAGCACATGTATCTTACGACATATTAGATGCAATCAATATAATAAAGGGGTTTAATCTAAATCTTCTGAAGTGATACAATCACTTTACATTATAAGATTTAATTAGATTCATTTCAGGACATGCTTGATGTGCCAGTGACACACAAAAAAAGAGTTTATCAGTTGTTTTTTTTTTTTTTTTTTTTTTTTAAGGCTGAATTGTATTTCAAACCTAATTTAAACAGATGTCTTTGGAAAGAATAATTTATTTGCATATCAGCCACATTTCTTTCAGCATGAAATGAAAACTAAGATCGTCCTTTCCCCACTATTGTCTATTGTTATGTACATCCAATTGAACAGTTTCTAAAATTAGAAAAAAATAGGGAGGTGCGTTATTTTGTTCTTTGGGAGCTGATTGGAAAATTGGATGATGGGCTTTGCTAACAAAATGAAGGAAGATTTGAATGCCAGTTTGCACTCTGTTGTGGAGGAATACTGTCAACCAGAATCACCATCGGCATTCTCGGGTGAAGAGTGTTTTCTGATGATGACAAGGATGATGAGCTGAATTTTACAGACAGAATTGTATCATATTTGTTTGTGCAACTGCGAAGACAAGACTAAAACAAGACATGCACTAATAGCCCCACCCTAAAAGCTTTCCATGTGACTAGAAGTGAAGAAGTCATTTTGAGAGTAGATAAAAGGTATTTGATTAAAGATTATGAGGGCAAATATATTTTTTACAAAATAATGAAGTGAGCAGATTGATCATTTATGACAAGCACTATATACTTAAACTGAGCACAGGCACGATTGCCCCCACTCTGCCAGTCCACTAACACTAGCATTGCAATTTTACATTCTGACCCCTTAAGCATGTTTGTGTCATCAATGCGACTGTTTAGAAGACAACAGGAAGAGAAGCACAGTTGCTCAGTACAATGGAGATTGCTTTAGTTATATTGTTGTGTTGTATTATTTTGAGTCATTTGGGACACATGGCCAAACACATCCACCACTTTTGATGCTTAGAAATTTCTTGAAGTGCAGTGGGGGTTTACATTTTTGATAAACTAGGACAGTTTTCATTCATTGACAAGTCCCAGCTAACAAAATTCATGTGGCTTAAATCCAGCCCACAATAGACACTTTACATTCGACCCACATACCGCATGGAATGATGGCACCTGGGCAGTCTGTTCCTGTTTGCCAGATCTGGGCCACAATTAAGCCATACAAATATCACATATTAGCCAGAATTCAACCAAATAAATCAGAACTGACCTTATTTTGGGCCACAGTTTTATTCTCGCCCAGATCTGGCCCACAAAAGACAATTACATCCGGCCCACATATTGCATGGATTGATGGCACTTGGGCAGTTTGTTCATGTTTGCCAGATCTGGGCCACAGTTAAGTCATAGCAAAACCACATATTAGCCAGAATTCAACCAAATGAACCGGAATTGACTCTATTTTGGGCCACAGTTTGCTTTTCTTTTGGCCCAGATCTGGCCCACACCAGATACTTAAATCTGGCCCACATACCGCATGGAATGATGGGTCTTGGGCGGTCCACTCCTGTTTGCCAGAGCTGGACCACAATTAAGCCATAGCAATACCATATATCAGCCAGAATTCAACCAAATGAACCAGAATTGACTCTATTTTGGGCCACAGTTTGCTTTTATTCTTGCCCAGATCTGGTCCACACCAGATACTTACATCTGGCCCACATATCACATGGAATGATGGCACTTGGGCGGTCCACTGCTGTTTGCCAGATTTGGCCCACATATGCCATATATTCTCCGGGCCACTTTAAGCTCACAGCCACCTTAGCCAGGTTTACTGTGCCTAATATTTGCCAAAAGTGGCCCACATATGTTTTAAGATAACTGGGCCACATATGCCATATCTTCACTTGGCAACTTTAGGCTAAAAGCAACATTAGCCAGAGATTACTGTGCCAAATATTTGCCAAAAGTGGCCCTCATATGTTTTAACATAACTGGGCCACAGTTTCCATAATTGTTCTGGGCCACAGTAGGCTCACAGCCACATATAGGCAGAGCTTATTGTGCCGAACATTTGACAAAAGCTACCCACATATGTCCTAAAATAACTGGGCCACATTTGCACATGTGAGCCACTTTGGGTTTAGACCCAGATTACCTTAATGACTATGCCACATTTTGCCAATTGAGTCCCTCATTTGTCCTCCATCATTTGGGCCAAATTGACCATTTTCCACATTGACCACATTAGGCTCACATTCAAATTACATTTTGCCATAAGTGCCAAATCTTTGCCTTAAATGGCCCATATATTAATTGGAATCTTTGCATTACCTTTTGCTATTGTACAGGTGGGCCACTTCAGGCTCACATTCATTTTGTCTGGCCCGAGAGAAGACCGCCAGTGCCACATAACTGCCTAAAGTGGCCCACACTCGTATGCAGGGGTAAGAATGAGTTATAAATTTATATGGAACAATTTGTCAGTTATGACATAACATCTTCAGTTTTACACATGCGCATGCTTTAAACTCACACTACATGTTTACCACACCGAAAGCCCGGGACAAAACGGGCTAGGGCTGGCCAACCGAAATGTACCAGGGCAGTGAATGGAGCATTCACACTAGTCAAAAGAAGATTTGTGGGTCAAATATGCCAGGGAATGGTCTGGGTAGCCTAGTTTGAGTACAGCCTTAGTTGGTGTAAATGGATAATTGGACGCAACCGCTCTTTTTTTATTGGAAAGTTGAAATACTGGCTGTAACAGCCTGACTCTCTCTCAGGATCATATTCTGTTGCCTCTTTGCTCAAATTATGTTTTAATTATTGTTCCATTACCAGAGCCTACTCAGGTTTTAATAATTTGGAGCCCTACTTAAATAACTGCTCTTGGACCCTACACATTATGGTGGGTGAAGACTACAAAATATTCTCACCAAGAACCGATGTGATGTGATGGGGTTCACAGCATTTTTCACACAATGTTATGTCACAACAGTTTCCGTGGACGGATTTCACATGTGGTCAAGATGCAACTCAAACAAGGTTTTCCTTTAGCATCACAACTCCAGTGCAGAGTGATTTCTCCTCAACCAAGCGTAACCACAGAATATTCAAATAGTTTTAAAACAGTAATGATGTAACAGATGTAAATGCCAATTTGATACACACTCTGAACTATTTGTAAAGATTTCAAAGCTTCTTTCAAAGCAGCCATCACTAGTTCAAAGCTCCACCTTCTGACCAAGATGCACGCAACAACGCAACCAGCTTATGTCAGTAGCTTTGATGTCATCTTCAGTTTCATAGACCAGGGGAACAAATAAGGACAGAATGAGTATTCTTTTTTGAGTAATGCATTCTCAATCTGCTTGGGTTTGTCTTTAGATCGTCTCATTTATTTTTAGACGGCAAAATATAAAAGGGATGTTGTTCTCTCTGTTGTGTCTACTACTACAGCAACAACAGACAACAACAAAAGTAGCACTTTAGACTGCCTTCAGACAGAACACTTCCAATTCACCTACTTACACAGCAGTCTAAAAGTATGTCCTCTTTTTGTGAAGTAAA